AAGATCTTTAGCCGCTATTAAATATCTGAGTGAATAGTAAACTCCTTTATTATCACTTTTTATTATTATTCAAGTGCCGAGGCTTGCAAAGTTTTTTTTTCGCAATCCTTTACACGCATCGATGACGCGTTTTTTCAAAATAAAAAAAGAGCTAAAAATGTCTTTGATTATATAATTTTTAGACGATTGACTATAGAAAATTATTGTATTAATCATTGCGGCGCGAGAGACAGAGAGAGAGAGAGAGAGAGAGAGAGAGAGAGAGAGAGAGAGAAAAGACCGTTTTTGTAACAAAGGAGAGATCTGATAAACGTAAAATTAAAGAGAGAATTGTGCATAGAAAATGATAAAATAATAAAATAAAACGAAGAAAAGGTTGTGAAAGTCGGATAAAAACCACATTTTATGATATAAAAAAAGCAAAGAATATAATTTACTAGTATCTGTAATTAACATACCTTCCTAACTTTTTTGAATAAGTTGTGCTGTATTTTTTAATTGTGGAAATAGCCTGGATCGATTTTTTATTCATAATATTGTTAATTTGAAGTATTTATTCACAGAATTGTTAGTTAACAGAACCGTGGTAGTGTTGAGAAGCGTTTTATTCTCATACGTTCGTGCTTTAACTGAATCAATCAAAGCAATTATTTTTAGCATTTATAGTGAGGTATAAAGAAAGAAAGTTATAAAGAACTACGTGTGCTTATCCACTAACTAGAAAGTAGCGCCATCGGTACGCTGCATCGCGTATAATATCAGAATGTTTTTTTAAAGTTTATCAAGACATCTTGACGTTAATTAAACGTTAAATTGCACATATTGGGTTGACATTTTGTTACACGTGCTGTCGATACGACCTCAATGCTATATGTTGAAAATTTTTTTCTCTATTCAAGAAAAGAAATTGAATACAATTTCTTCTGATAAATGAATAACTCGTTAAATAAATAATAATAATGAAAAACTAAATGTCCGAATGATGAAATTTTCAAAGGAAATTTTACATATGTAATGAGCATTTATGTTTGGTTAGTATATATAATTAACGTTTACAAATCAACGCAATAGAAGGAATCGATATAAAAAAAAAAAAAAAAAAAAAAAAAAAAAAAAAACTACGCAATACCGATAAATACAATAAAAATATTACATAGATAGAAAAGTATCGTAATGAAGCGATAAGTAGCGTTAAACATTCAAGAGTCGAATGCACTTTGCACTCTCGAGTCTCAGTAGTCGTTCCAATGATCTTCTATAGATCGTCGATGGACTTGTTCAGCTGGAGAAGCGCCTCGCTCGCTCCCTCGCCGATACCCGCCTCGGCTGTTCCTTTAGGCTCGAGCAAAAGAATGTTCGCAGCCTCTTTAAGGATACTCGCGGCCTCGATCATCTTGGACTTGAGGGCTGCCGCGTCAATGACATCAGCATTCCACAAATTTTTAGCGAGGAAGAGCAGGGGAGCGTGCAGTTCGTACAGGACCATTCCACGGGAACGAGTTAGCCCGGGCTCGACTACATCGAGTACCTGCAGGAGCAGTCGGCATATGTCAACCTTGTGCTCGAGCACTACGTCCGGCAAGTCGTCCAGGTAGTATTCGTTTACGTGGCCATACAGTTGACTCAGTGAATACCTGTTTGTGATTTTAAATCTCTTTTGTCCTTTATGCTTTTTATTGGCACTCGAGTTTTTAATGACAGTGGAATTTTTAAGGAAGCGATGGCAGTAATATCTACTAATGCTGTTAAATGCAATTTGTACTCAATCTTCGAGTATTATACTCGATGAATTGCATGCATGGTATAGAGAAAAAAAGAAAGAAAAATGCATAGATACGAGAAGCAATACTACTGTAAGCACTACTACACATTTGTGTAAGCGAACCTTGGTATAGTAAGTAGAGCGTGTCGAGGGTGTAAAACCGAGCGATACTTTTTTATAAAATTTTCCCTAATATTAACTGCTTCTGGTCCATCAGCAATTGTATAAACTTCCACTTTGTCCATTTCCCCTTGAATAATTTTTTGCACTTTATTAACTGCTTGTCCGTTTGTTGAAAACTCGCAATGCGTGCATTTCCATCGACTTTCCGTATCTGCAAGTATCGATAATATTGCAATATTGGCAATGTCTACATCGATCAGAATATTTCAATTAAATTTTACTTCAATCAATCATTTAATATAATACAATGAAGATACTTAAATTTGAAAAATCTATAACAACGTTATAGAATAATAATTTTTTTTTTTTAATGTTGAATAATTTCATCGTAATAACTGAAATTTACTAAATGAAGTAGAATACTTTATTTACAGTGTTCGTAGCTTTTTGAATTAATTTTGTTACAATTGCCAATGGCAATGATAAAAACTCCGATAATCCGCTTATCGCGCGATTAAGCATAAATTTAAGGCTTGAACGATTGATTCATCTCATTTAATTTAGACTTTTCAATTATACGCAAGCCATAGTTAAAATTACTAATCGAGGCTTCGATCCACAGTTCGATAAAGTTGTTCGATAAAATAAAGTAACATCGGTAACATAATTTTTAAAAGTGTAAACAGTTCTCTATTCAGCCCGACCATGTTTAAGCAACACATCCAAAGTTTCCCGGAGTATGTGTAGTAAAGTGTCTCCTCGAGGAGCTGAAGATGAGATATGAGCTTTTTAAAGCACTCACCTAGAGAGTCAAGGGGTACGACCATCCCATTGTCGCACTTGTTGCACTTGAGAGAAGACATGTGGGTGCCGAGCTCCGTAGGGTCGGCGCACCTACTACACGCGCACACAAAGTACTTGCTCTCGAGGAGATATTCGCGACGCAGCATCGTCGGTAGCAAGGCGTGGGTGTAGCTGCTGAAAAGCTCCTGGCCAGCAGACACCTTCACCGCTGTCCTCAAGTGAATTCTGCGCGGACGAGTAAAGGCTCGTACAGGAGTTAGTTAAGTGCGATAAACGGAAGGTCTGTCTCGCTTGCACTTGTTCTCGGGCACTCTTTACGGGATTGCGAGGCAATTACGTGGGGTAGCACGAGGGTGTACATTGTTGATGATATACGAATCTCGCGATGCTAATAGCTTAAGCAATAATGTAACAATGCGATATTGACGATACGAATACGCAATATGTAAAGAGAGGTACGATCGATCGATATTATTCACGCTGCCATTGAATTATTGAGATAACTCGTATTAATTGTATCGAGAACGTTTGCTCTGGATAAGAAAGTGCTCGTTATAATTATAATTACAAATTGTAATTTGGCTATAATTATAAACAGATTTTAACGACATAGCCATTACACTGATAAACGGGCGTACGATAAATTTTATAGACCAATCAATTTACTAGTGATAAGATGTATCAATTAATTAATTATCTAAAGCAAATTAACTCGTCAAGTATTAAATTAAGTTATAAAATTTGCAATAATATTATTGTTGTATGAGAGTGAATTCCTAATGTAAAGATAAATGAAATAATATTAACAGACAAATGTAGAAAATTGCAAAAGAATATTTTCCGTATGTAAGTAGAACAAATCAAAAAACGAATAAAAAATTCTTCTGTTATTTAAATTGAGAGTGTAAAATAAGAGTATTAAAATTATATTTATGTATGTAGAAGTATATATGAAATGAGATAGTGCAATAGTTGCAAATGACTTTAAATTTCATCATTACTCATTAAACATCATTTTAATATATCGTTGATAAAAATAAAATTTATTACTTACCGGTAATCAGCTGGGACCACACTATGGACCGTATTTGAAACACACGAGTGGCTAATGATTGCGACATTGGGATATAAAGCTCTAGCTAAAAAGCCTTTAGCAGTTCTAATTTCATAACAGTTTATTTCTAAAATTCCGCAGGCCGATTGAATGTTATCTTCCGAGAACCTGTATTATTCCAAAATGTCAATGGTGAGGTGACGAATGCCTTAATAATTAATGTATGAACGTGTTGAATGGAAATTAAATGTGAATGAAACAAATTTTTATGAAATCAAATTAATTGCCCAGAATTCAATAATCGATCATTGATATTATTCATATTTTTAATCGTTTGAATTTAGATTTAATAAAAGGTATTTATATGATATTTTTGGATTGCGCGCGTATTAAAAAAATATGCTTGAAGGATAAATTTGTATGCGAACCTTTCTAATTTCAACCGCTTCCGTAAGTATTCCACGATATTTACATGATCAGTGCTCCATTGTGATTTTTGGCACCTATTCTTGTTGTGTGTTTCCATGTCTTTGACCTCTCTCTTCCACCTCTCGTCATCTTTCTCCGAAGCCAGTAAAAGCCGCAATGGAGTGATGCACTCGAGCTGTGGAATTCCATTTTGCTGCTCATTGCACAATGCTACTTCCACGTTAAATTTTTCTTTCGACTCAGCAAATATCTACATAAAATATAGTATATTATGAATGACAATAACCTTCATATTATTTCGATAACAAAATTATCGAAAAATCTCATACGCTCAATGATATAAAACGACAAATGTAAATCTTAACGAGACAGCATATTTAAAAATCTTACTTAAAAATTCAAAAACTGTAGTATTAATTGAATTCATTTTCTGTTTTATCTATTATTCGTGAGAATATTTCCCTACGTTTTCACAAAAAAAAAAAAAAAAAAAAAAAAAAAAAACAAAAAACAAAAAAAAACCATTGAAAATCCTATTATTTAAAATATAAAATGTTCACTGCGATGGAGCATTGTAGTGCTCCATCATAAAAGTGTGACACGAAATGCATTAGTCACAAGCGCAATAAAGTAAAAAGAAGGACAACTGACGTCGTTTACGTACCCCACATTCGTAATCTTTGTGCTGAGGCTGGACTTCGCACTCGGTCGAGCAGACGGGCCAGCAGCATGTGGAGCATAAGAATTGATTGTCCAGCTCACTCGGCCAAGGACTGTAACAGGACAGGCACAAGGGATGGGTGAAACTCTTGGGACCGACGACGAACGGCAATTCGCTCATAACTTCTTCTCCGGGCTCCAGATTTTTTATCGCTACCGCATACCTGCCAACTTGCTCGTTACGCAGAATCTCGTACTTCTTCTGTTCATCCTGAGCAATATCGTATTCACCACTGTTTATTTTACGAATAATTGACGCTTCGGCCGACTGCGTTTTCCATTAAGCATAAAGGAACATGGGAAGAGAAAAGTGTGCGCTAAAGCACTTGAATTACGATCGCTTATCGATCATCTGATCATCAGTACACCACACTCATGCATCACGTTTACGATGCTTCGAAGTATGTAAATGGATATTCCCCGAAATTTGAAATACAAGCGATTAAAATAAGATGGAATGATTCAGGTGTAATTGGTTAGAATGATCGTGGTTCTTATCAATCGAAAAGCACTGTCCGTAGATAATTAAGAAAAAAAAAAAGAAAGAAAAAGAAAAAAAAAACATTGTAAAGAAAATTTTGTTTCCAATGTGTAAAGTTGCAAGCGAGCGCAAGCCCAGAAAATATAATCGAATCGATTCTTTACTTAATAACGTAAATTTTCCCTAAACTGCACTCGCGTCTTGCAATTAGCTCGTCTATAATTAGGCGCGGGTGGCATTAATTAGATGGGTTAGCGCATCGAATGCACTTACCGTATTCGTCAGCGACATGTCGAGGAGTAGCACTAATGTTTATAAATCTCCTTGCTCAACGCTCACTTAGGCCAATGAACTATTTTGGCGCTCAACTGCAACTGAAAGTGCGCGGCGGTCGTCGTAGCTTTTTATATTGATGATATTGAAAGCGAAATTAACCTGGTGGCGTGGCGGCGTTTAGTGCCAATGGTAAAACCTATATTGAACGTGCGCATCTCTTCCTTCTCATTGCGAAGCTAGAAGACGAACTGTTAACACTGCACTGTATTTTTGGCTCTCCGATCTACAATGGTTCAGAAACATCGAGGAGTTGTACGGCCTCCACGCCTGGTAAATGCAATTATCTTGTTGTGTATGTTTACAATTCTATTCATAAGTGTGCATATTTGTCGGAGGCGAGAAAATTCTATGGTCCGTATCCAACAATTGCAACTGTGATTATTTAAGAATCTTTTAAGTGCATGACTTTTTGCTCTTCGTTCGTGCTGAACGAAGAATTATTCTTACTATAACATTTTTAAAGGTATATTTGCTTTTTACTAGCAAACTGTCTATTCCATTTATTATTTTAGCACTTCTAATAAGTTCGGTAAATTTTAAAATTAAAAATTTTAAAGCTTCTGCCGTCTCGTTTTCCTAACTTGTTGCATGGCATCATCTTAACCGCTCATCGAGTGAATTTTAAATTACGAATATCTCAATTTTTAATAAAAATAAGAAACAAATTTTGTTTAATTGCAATAGCTGAAACAATAATTTTACAGCTGACAGTTTGTATTAATTCGTTAAAAGGATTTTTTATTTTGTTCTATAAATATATGTATACATAGATACATACGTAAATATTATAATAATTATTATACTCTCGTAATTGCAGAAAACCGCCAAAAATTTATTAACTTTTCAGTAATTACTTAAATATCATATTTCTACTATGTAATAAATCATTCTTTTAAACAATTACTTAGGCTAACAATCATTTTATGGAAAGTGAAATAACATTTGCATTGAAGATGAAGTTTCTTTAAAAAAAAAACCAACAGAAAAACAGAAAAAAAACATTATTTAAATAACTAAAATAAATATTTTATTTTCTTCGTTTCGTAATAAGTACAATGGAATTGCTTATTTTTAAAAGTATTATTATCTTTATACATTCAAACACATTATATAACTTGAATTAAGTTATTTTATTGATAAAAATTTATTTTTAATTTATGTTAAATCGTTGCTATAAATTATTTGCAATAAATAATAACATAAGCTAATGATAATTATTGATAATACAACAGTTTAAAATAATTATAAGCTATATTGGTACAAGTATCATATTTTTTAATTTTTCATGTTTTTTTCAAATTCTGTAAACAATGTTAAGCACAATAGATTAATAAAATTATAATTATCTATATTAAAATTAAATAAAATACATATACAGATATATTATTTTGTTATATAGTTTTTATTTAGTTAATAAAGTTGAAATATGTGCTTATATCATTAATGTCAATAATTGTATCAAATTAATAAAATAAAGTTTAATATTTAAAGGGATTTTCAATAAAATAATTTGGCAGGTAAATTAAAATAATTTTATATTTTCTTCTAATTAATCATTAATTTCTGTTATTGAGAGTAATTGTATATCTTATTAATAAGCCGAACTTTCTACTATACGATTATCAATAAAAAATATTACAATATGAACTTTAAATGAACTTTCATGTTTAAGTAGTTTTATGTTTTGCACGAGTATTGATTCTGTTGAATAATGCATAAACTTTGTCGATGTTGATAAAATAAATATGCATTCATGAATGTATTATATATATATATATATATATATTCATGAATTAAAGTGAATTAAAAATAAAAAAAATTTATCGCCTATGTTACAGTGGTTGAGTTGTATTATTTTCAAATTAATTACCATTCGCATCAAATGATCCATTAATGCTAAAATATTTATTTACTTATTTCTCAATTTTAATGATAATAAATAAAAACAGTTGATTTACATGTATATAAATCGAATTTATGTAATTAAATTATATAATTAAATTAAATAATTAAATAATAAACGAATTAAATCAAATGGATATAAATCAAACATTCAGACAAATGCTTTGAATTTCTCATCATCTGATTTATTAGTAAATTCTTGAGTCAATTCATTATCATCGATAACATAAAAATCTCAAGATAAAGTACAATTTTTATTGTGTATTACATGATCTTGAAGATAAACGATAAATTAGATTACAAGTGCACAAAACTAGGATGATCAGCTACTGAATTTGATTTGTTTTTTTTTTTGTTTCTTGTTTCTTTGTACTTGAATTATTATATAAAATATATTATACCTTATGTATCTTTAATCATTGGCTAAATACGTTGTCCCAAGTATTATTTTCTTTATTAAATAGCTGTTACACACATTTAAAAATAATACCCAGCCATACATAATACTTAAAAAATTATATACAAGTACACGAGTCTATAGATGAAGCAACTTATGTTAAAAACTGATCCACTATTTGCTGGCAAGATTTTCATTTGTAAGCCTTGATGCTCGATAATGTAATGACTGAAATCAGTTGTCGTTTCTCAGAATTCGTTATACATCTGCGAAATGTAGCCGTGTGCCAGCTTAGTATCTCTACTTTTCTACTCGCTCTACTTTTATTGCCTAATTTTTCTGGTTTTCTATGAAATAACAAACTATAGTCGATAAATTAAATCCTTGATTTTAAATGTATTATTACATTGGAATTTTATCCTTATTAATTCACCGCAGCTTGTAGAAATGCAATAAATAACTTTACTCCTTATCGTCATTAGCTTCGAAATGTAAATGTCATATTTTTGGACAACTAAATCTCGTAATTCCTCTCAAACGACTTCCTCTTCTTCTACGAATTAATTTTAACAGATAACATCATTTTAGAATTTTCGCACAACTTGATTTTTATTATTTTCACAAGTACTTTAAAATAGTCATGTAATATAGTACAATTTTAATTGCATGGAATATCATTTTTTATCATACGTATTGAATTCTTCAGGATCAGGAATAACGAATCATGATGAACACAAATGGAATTCTTAATAAATGTTTTATAAAAAAAGTCATAAGTCATACGAGCCGTTTTAAAAATAAAAATAATTAAAAATCATATGAGCATATCATATAAAGATAAATCTCGTTATCAGGTTCATTTTTAGGTAGTGTTGCATTATTCTATTGTACTATACTTTGAGCATCGCATAAAATATTATTAGAAATTGCATTGTAATGTATAAAATTAAGGCAAAATTAAATTATCCAACCATTTGAACTGTATTATTATTATTTTACCGATCAATCATAATACAACACTAATGCAACAGAATGACTTTTATTCTTTTATAATTTGTTTTTTAAGTTTTACAGTTTGGGGGGTTGAAAAGAATTTGTATCTTATCATAGTATTTATTATACATAATTTTATTTATGACTTGTAAATTATATTCAATAAATATAGCACAAATATTTTATTACATAAACTCGTGAGTACTTGAATTTCTATCGAAATATTCTATAGAATATTAACAATTTGTATTTAGAGTCATCAAGATGCGTGCTAATGATATTAGAAAAAATAAAAAATTAATAGAATTAATAATAATTCATAATTCAATTAGAACAGAAAATTTAATTAATGAGGTGTATAAGACTTATTTAATTTTTAAACATTTCTAAATACAATAAACTAAATAAACAGTTTCGGCATAATTAATGTTTGTCAGATAAATATTTTAAAAATTATTATATTTCTAATTCAAGTGTTATATTTTTTAATTATCGACTATATTTTTTCTAGAAAATGGCATTATTATCTTGTCAAATAATATTACACTACAAAATATTTAAAAAATATTATTAAAAGAAAAATAATTCCTTTTTCCTTTGTTTGTTTGTTTTTTTTTTTTTTTTTTAATTTTATTACTTTGAATAAATCAGTCTTGTTTTTATTTTTACTTCGTGTAGCTTCATACTAATACAGTTATCATCGCTTAACAAATTCTGCAATGCTTCATTACTTATCCTGAAACAAAAAATTTCTAAAATTATGAACAATTAAATTCTGTTTCTCATTGTAAATTAATTCAATATATATAATTATAGGCCAAAACATAGAAACAATTATTGTTCATAAAAATATTTTGACATTTCAAATTAATTGGTTTAATTTTTGTTTTATTTTGTTGTTTCTCTTTTTTATTTCCAAAGCATACAATGCAAATATCTACAAGCTATTCTCGAGATTTCTTTTCTTTCTTTTTCAAGAGCTAAATTTTATGTTTAATTTATTTAATTTTATACTAATTAATCTACAATTTGTATGCGTTCAGAGGTTTCGCACACCAGCATTCTATAGAATTTTTTCTTCCAACAAAATGTTATGTCTTAAATTTCTATTCTCATTCGTGTAATTAATTATTGACTAGACTTAAATTTGAATTGAAAAAATTCCAGATACATTTTACCGTATTAAGGTGTAGTATCGCAGCTATGTATACACAATTAGTTACTCGCTATCTTCTTTTATGTGAAAACATGAAAATGAATTAAGAGGCTGGAAAACGGTGCGCTGTTAAATAGTTTTGCCTCTTATAAAATCTTATATTCAATCTAATATTTAATATATAATCTTATATTTCAATATAAAAACACTCTTCTGTATGGGAGGGCAAGTAATCGTACGTACGCGTCCATGCATTGATGCAACTATATTATGAAATCCATTCGCGTCACTAAGTGCGCCCTTAAGCGAACGGGGCTTTAAGCTTAAAAATGGCGGCAGTTGCCTCATCGACCTCAAGAACGATTCAAATCTACTGATTTGATAATACACGTCGGATCCTCCGCTTCGGTTTATGCACGCGCGCGCACGCCGATACCCACACTTGCAATAGGTAAACGTAGGTAGGACAGGATATCCTCGGTGCACCAGGTCGTAAGGGCTCTCGCGGCTGTTTTTTGATTTCTCGAGAATTAATGGGAGAGTACGCGCATGCGCGAGTGACAATGCCCAGTAATATAACGCGCACCTTTGCACGGAGGGGCTCCGCGTGCGCGGCCGCGCACGCACACAAATAGGGCTCGGCGAATACATAGAGCTTGAGTCGACCAGCCGGAGATCCCATTGTGCGCATATACCAATCGAACTCCCCAACACTTCCAAGTAGGGAGTACCGTAGTTTTACGGACGAGCCTACGGCTGCAGTTTCTTGAGACAAATTGAAATCCACTGTACTGCAAGACAGGCCAGCGTAAGTATAAAAAAAACCATGATTTTCGATGTTTGAATATCGGTTAAATGCGTGCGAGATTATAAAAGCAATGCTTAATATCAGAAATACCGAATGATTTGGATAAAGTGTGAGTGCACATCGTTGAATGCCGGCACGTGGAGCTCGTGCAGCTTTCTTTTCATAATCGGCAATTATAAGCGTCACTTTTGTGTGTTTGTATTGTTTACTGAGCGATGATTTATAAATCCGACAAAGTCTTCGTATTGCTTGATAAGGATTTAATGGGACTGAATAAGTGTTTAAGTGAGGTTAGGAGTACAACACTGCATAAGATGATAATTTGTCTTATGTAATAGCTAGGGCAGGTCAATAATGCTTATCTTGACTTTTTTTTAAATTGTTTTTTAGGTAAAATTGACGAGACTTAAGTTTTTTCGTGACTTTTTTTCTTTTAATTCAAATCGTAGGGAAAATGTAATTTCGAAGAATCGCGATCGATTACTACTTAGAAATTTTTATGAACGGAAATCGAATCTTCAAAGAATAACCGATTTTAGAAAAAGGCGTGATACATGTTTTAGTTAATCGCCAAAAGGTAGATAAAGATTAGGAATAAAGTAATGGGACTTGCTCTATTTCCTCATCTATTACTTAATAGTTTACTTTCGACAATGTTTTATTTTTATGTATATATTCTACTTGACTTGTAAGTCATTATTTTTAATTATGCATGAAGAGATTTTTTTTTCTTTTGTAAAATTTAATTCAGTATTATTTAGATAAAAATTTTTTATCCTATATATATAATTTAGAGAAATTCATATTTTCTCAATTTGTTAGGAAATAAAGTAGCGCAATTTTGTAATAATAAAATTTTTAAATAAACGATGGGAATCCATATTTCAAATATTAACTTAATTTCAATCCAAATAATTTAGCCCAATTGTTGATGTATGATTTGATTATTTTATATCCTGTAATAGAACATGCCTCCTCCAACCTATGGTGATCTTGGAAAGAGCGCTCGCAATATTTTTGGCACTGGATTCCATTTTGGTCTTCTGAAACTTGATGTTAAGACCAAAACAAATTCTGGTGTAGAATTTAGTGCTGGTGAGGTTGCCAATCAAGATACTGGCAAAGTCTTTGGTACTCTTGAAAGTAAATATAAAGTCAAGGAATATGGTCTTACTTTTGTGGAAAAATGGAATACAGATAATACTCTTGGTGTTGATGTTACACTCGTTGATAAACCACTTAAGGGTTTAACTCTTGGTTATAGTTCCACATTCTCGCCTCAGACTGGGTTAGTAATGAAATTTTGTTCTTTTATTTATTTATCTTTTCTCTATTGTAATTATCGATATGCTATTGGTTTCATTTTCTTATATTTTTATTAAGTTTTGCACGTGTATTTAAAAAATAGATTTTGTGCTTTGCTTTGAAATATAAAAATTATAAAATGCAAATCATTACAATTATGTTCTTTTTTTTTATATTATTGTGTCTTAAATTTATTTTATAAAGTATCATAAATTATTTACTATCAATTTAGCAAGAGAAGTGGTAAGCTCAAGAGTATATACCAACACGATAATGTTGCAGTTACATCAGATTTTGATCTTAGTCTCTCAGCTGGTCCATTGATAAATGCAAGTGCAGTAGTGGGTTATCAAGGTTAAATTTTCTCTGATAAAACATAAATTTAATCGCTTTTCTCTATTGTACATAGAAATTCTTATATTTTTATTAAATAGGATGGCTGGCTGGTTATCAAGCTGGATTTGATTCACAAACTAGCAAAGTAACCAAAAATAATTTTGCTCTTGGTTTTCATGCTTCCGATTTCCATATTCATGCGGCTGTGTAAGTATTATTTATGAAACAATCATAACAAACATTTTTAAAAACTCAAAACTAAACGTCTTAAAAATATAAATATATAAGAATATTACTTCTCAACAATTTAAATGTTTTAATATTTTCAAGTTTTTTTTACATTATTCCAATTAATTTTCGAACGTATTTTAATAGCTAAATTAATGACTAGAATTTTTTATAATACAAACTTTGCAGTGAGAACGGTCGTGAATTTGGAGGATCAATTTTCCACAAAATTAAGCCAGGACTAGATGGTGCAATTAATTTGGCTTGGAACTCGAGTAATAATGTTACACAATTTGGTCTTGGTTCGAGCTACAAACTCGATGAGGATGTCTGTGTAAGGGCTAAGATAAACTCTCAGCTTCAAATTGGGTTGGGATATCAACAAAAGTTGCGTAGTGGTGAGTATTAAATTTGCGTATTAGTCTATGAAAGTTAATTTTCAACTCAAAAATTTACTTTATTACGTAGTCATAATTGCTAATTGAAAAGTCAATAGCTTTTTATATTACAATAAAGTTTGCTCAACAGTTTATATAAAGTAAAAAATATTTCTTAACTATAATATTTAAATTTTATTTTCAACAAATTCTTTATTTCAGTATGAATTTATAATAAATTATCACAAGTTTTATAAAAAATTAAAGATATTTATACTTTTATTACGCTTTAATTAACTTAATGAAAATTGTTATTAAAAATTATTTACGTATAATGATATTTTTTTTTATATAGGAGTTAGTCTATGTCTTTCCACAAACATTGATGGAAAGAACTTTGGATCTGGTGGTCACAAAATCGGTTTTGCATTGAATCTAGAAGCTTAAATATCAAGATTAACGTGAATGTTGTCTTCTACGAGATAAACAATTTTATTACAATTGCGTCATTGTGATCATGTTCTAATTACATGTATAAGACCAGTTACTGCCTGTAATGTAATGTACGTAGACTTACCCTTAAAAGGGTCACCTGAATTTTAATGCATATTATTTAAGTTAGTATCATGTCTCCACGAACTTACAGCATTAATATTTTTAAATATACTTTTTGAAATGTAACAAAAATTCAACTTTGTTAAAAGCAATTAGACAATGCTTTGTAATACGTAGTTGTAAAAAGCATCTACATTATAATATTTGAAGGCATCTGTAAATTGAAATTTAACGATGTTAAATCTAGTATAAAATGGTATTGAGTTTTCCATGCCAGACAACAATAAAGGAAGTTAAATCAAGAAAAATAATATTTTATTTTTATTTGTACACCTTACGTTATTCGTATGCAAATGTTATTACGTAAATAATTTATTAGTCATTTTTTACACAATTAATATGCTTGTACCAAACAACGTAGATCTAGGCTTTTGCAAATTATATCAATAAAATTTCAATTAAGCTTTTTTTTATGTAGTTGTTTATTTACAAAAGAAACTGGTGTTTTTTGTTCTTTGCGCAAACTTTAAGAGTATTATTTTTTAAATAATGATACTAATATTGTATTCACATTATAAATTCGTTTTAAATACTAAGTGGCACTGGTGGTATGTACTGCACTTGGATTATTATTAAATATAGGCTTGTCGAACAATTATGAATTAATCAAAAGCTTAGTTCCTTAGATACTCAATGTACCATTTGATCTTCCATAGCTTTTGCTATCCATTCGGGTTCGGTTTGAGCAATTTTCTCAATAATTTGATTCACTTGGTAACAAAGAGATTGGATTTGTTTATCCCATGTAGGTAAGCTTTCTCGTGCTGGATAAAAAATGTCAATGTTAAGAGAATGATATTAAAATTTATGATTTAAAAACTTTCATTAAATTTAATGAATAAATTGCAAAATTAGCTTTAACAATTAAAAAATGAATTTATTGACATACTTTCAAAGTGAACAATGGAATCGATTTGATCAATGTAACCATTCATCCTTCCTTCGGTTATCATTTGACTCGCAATTTTTTCAGCTTTCCCTGGTGGAATCTCTAGCAGCGAACCCAATTCTTCAAAAGTGATATTATTATACAATTTACTAGCAGATAATAAATTGTGTTCGATCACTGCTCGATCAAGAATCGTTGAACCAAGCCCGTCGGTTGTGCATGCTTTTTGATGAGGCTGCAAAAGTGCCTCGAATTCTTCAAGTTCGGAACGCCGAATAATACGATCTAAATACATTTTCTCTAAAATTGAATAGGCTGGAAGTTGTTGGCATCGTTCGTCTTTGAACAACGTTGCTAACATACGACTCCTTTGCTGTCCAGCCGAAGCAAGTACTGTACAAATAAGAGCATTTCTGAGAGCGGTCATACGTTCATCCTCGTGAATAATTGACCTATACGATAATTCATTGTATCTCTGAGCCGCTTCGATAAATTTTCTTCTATAATCCAGTACCCGTGCATAACAGACTTTATAATAAATTTGCAAATGTTCGTTCTTGGATTCGGCCTAAACAAAGCAACAATTATATAACAGGCAATTATGGAATAACAATAACAATGTACAAAAGATATAAATAAGATTTAATCGCCTAGCAACTTTTACTTCCATGGATTAGCTTTTGCGAAAATAGCGATTAACCAGTTAGGATTTAATTTAATAACGTTAAGTCGATAAAGGAATAAAGTACCTGCAATAAGGAAGCTCTATTAATAAATGCCTCGGCTTGAATAGGATCGTCATCCTCTAAGTAAAGTCTAGCTATTTTAAGGTACGTTTCAAGTTTATAATCCACCGTATATTGCCTGCACATATAAATATGACAAATAAAGTAATCGATTTTCATGGTCATACGAATTTTTGGGAAACTTACTTTTGCCCAGTTTCTAAGGGTATACCAACAAGAACATTGGCAGCTTCGCGCCAATTCTGATTACGCTCGTATATATCGGCTAAGTGCTGCCTTATATTCGCAACCTGTTCTTCGAATGAAATTACCCTAGGCTGCACCTAAACGCCAATAAGACAATAAAAATGCTTACTGCATAAAATCGCACGAGCAAAAAGTGTAAAATCATGTATTTTTCGATGCAGCATTTATTACCTTATCCAGCGTATAGTGGGACACAGCTTTAGAAATTTCATCGGGTAATGACTGTAGTCTATTACTAACGTCTGTCAACACTTGCCTAGATATAACCAAACTAACATTCTCATTGACAACTACAAAAAAAAATTCAATTTCAATTCAATATTATTGTCAATTATTAATTAACAAGTAGCACGTAAATATTTATACATACTTGCTTCGATAAATACTTTCAAAGTATCGGCGAGCTCTTCGCCGGACGACGTAATTATCGCGTCCAAAAAGGATTTGTATCTGAAAGAACGCTTAGTTAATGGCAGTGGGGCTCAATTTTAACGATGGGTTGAAAATGTTAACAATTATATTACTTTTCCGCCTGATCCTTGTGCGAGCCGCCCGAGTGAGAAAGATTTGCGAGCTGTTGACGCATCGCCGAGGCCATGGTAACGACAATCTTATGTCAAAAAAGCAGTCAGCCACTGGTGCAAAATGCACAAACCGCTTCCTCTAATATGGATGACGGATTCCTCTAATGCTTCAAACGTCCAAGGTAATTTTCGAAGCCGCGCCGCGCGCACTGCAATGCGAACTGCGACCCCTTGACCAACGGCTTTTCTTGGTTAGGCTGTCTATTTCATGAAAAAGACGACATTCGACGATTAGGCTGGAAAATGCGTGCATTAGGAATAAGGAGGAGAGCAGGTTGCGGGCGGCAACGTAACAGTGCTGCGCAACGTAATGCTACGGAGTCACGACGCGACTCCTTGAATTTTGAATTGTTCTTTCGTAATGATAAATAAATTGGCGTAGGTTGGTCATTGGTGACTTTATGCCGTATATACAACTGGGTGGTGTGATGTAATATAATGTATAAAGCGATTGGGGAATGGATCTGTCTCGTTTGTAAAATTAATACAAGTGAGACGAGTCTTTAAATGGAAGCTTATTATTTGCCGTGACTATTCTTACTTATCATTTCTAATTTCATAGCGGGAAAGATTAGTTTTTGGTGAGCAAAGTGTCGATTATTCGGAGGCTATTTTTTTAATAAAAATGCCTGGATAAGCGAAGAGCTCGTAGACACGACGAGGTGATATGTCAATTAGAAATTCGCATATAAATATTATAGACAATATAAATTTACAGGTGCCGTAATTATACATAGGAATTATTATTGCCACTGGGTGTGAAAAGCGCATCTTCCACAATCATTTTACGATTCATAATAACGGACAATTTGACGTTTTACGGGGCTTTGTTTGAATTTGTAATATTAAAAGGGGGAGACGACAAAATTTTTTAAATGTCCGACATTCGTGAAGGTTCTTTATTAAAATTCGCATTAAAATCAATTTAATCCGTTGAATGTTTGCTTTTGTTGGCTATACTTAGGATATTGCAACCCATTTAACTAACGATTTCTCAAAAATAATTAAAACTTTATCATCTTGCAATTTATTCATGCAATTGAATCATATTGTTTTTCTTGTCTCTTTGCTTGCATTTAATCGCCAAAAGAACAAACTTAAAAAATTCCTCGATGCTAATGCGAATGAATTTATCAATATTAATATTCGTATTATCTATTGAAGAATAAGAAGAATAAGAAGAAGAAGAAGAAGAAGAAGAAGAAGAAGAAGAAGAAGAAGAAGAAGAAGAAGAAGAATAAGATGATGATGATGATGATGATGATGATGAAAAAAGTCCGTAATTTTTGCAATATTTTTATTTGTAATTTCGAAATTGATGATAAATCATGAATTTCGTTAAAACCTGCGTATACATGATTGTCATTGTGGAATCGCGAGTTTTCTTTTTAAATCTCTTATTTACATAACCTGCCAATATAAAAATTTATAAACATCGATTACCGAATTAGGCATCTGATAATATTTATTGACAGATATTCCTCAAATTTGATTCCTTGCCCCTTAGAATTAGGGTGGCCCGTAAAGTAAACGCTTTTACACGCGCTACACGTTATGCATAATAAATTTCAGAGTAAGAAGCTTCCTTAATAAAATATTCGATTGAAATTTTTTATATCCAATGTGGCAACATTGTGCGCAATGTCTCGAAAGTACAAATGTAAATTGTACATAAGCTGCGCAAAGCCACGCTGATTATACAAATGCATTTTGTATTAAACGGGGCATGCATTTTGCGCGCGCGTGTATGTGTTGGTGCCGCTTTTCGAATACAGTCCCGTAACTATCCAAGCGTCACATTCCCGTATGTGTTTACGAACGTTATTTCCTTGATACCTGCAAATTTTAATTAGTAAATTCCCCGGCTCGATCATCAAGGTCGATTATTCATAATGCCATCGTGGATCCGGGGTAACAAAACTCAAATAATAGTACCTGAAAAATCGTATAAAAAAGCATTTCTCCGGGAGTGCACAAGTATAAAATACATGGTTTGAGAGAGTTATAAGTTGGTTGCGTTTTGGAACGCGTTTACGGGTCTCGTCGCGAGCTGCGATTGGCCAAAGTCAGCACCAACGGAGACATTCTGCTTTTAGCCGCGGAAGGGCAAAAATATGGCGAAATCGAAAATTATAAAGTGCGCGAAAAACTTGTCTCAAAAATTAGAGATTCGCGCGCTCGGCCGATAAGCGTGCGAGCGGCGGTGAGAGCGAGGAGTTAAACGACACCTGCGAACCTCGGGTAATTAGTTTTGCATCGAGTGCTTCATTGTGATTTTGATTATTATTCGTGCCACCGAGACTACACAACACCCAACACTTTTGGGCCTGTTTATACAGCGCGGCGCGCGGTGCATCTTGGGACACCAATGGTGGGCGCGTGATTTTGAACAATTTCGACCACTTTGACGAATAAATTGAGGGTGAGTATCGACAAACGCCCAATCTCACGAGGATGCGGCTCAAAATTTTCATTTCACGATTGTAGATGCCAATCGGAGCTTTTACACGCGTTTCAAAACAAAAAAAACGAGACTATTTCAAGCCCCCCCCCACACACACTTAAGACTACTCTGCTCAATCATTTTTCTATCTGTCTTCGTTCCCCACACTCTCCTTCTCGCTCCTACTCACAGCAATTTTCTCTAATACGAACTTTCGAATTTTAGGTTAACTCCGATTATTTGGCATATTTCTGTAATTATTGTCACAATTAATAATTCCTGCGTTGGAATATTATCTATAAGTTTTTAAAAGAGGGCCTTTTATTGGACGGAGTTGTGTGTAATAGCGATTTATTTAATTCGAGAGTGAAATTTAAGTTTGCTTCGTGGAAAATGGCGCGTTTGTGGCAATAATGGCGCTAATGTTCCTTGGCTTTCAGTACGCTTCGAATATTTTCATGTTTTTATTTGAATTTTTTCAATTTAATGCTTAAGAGTGTAATAAGTGATATTATTTCTTTACGATGGAATGCAACTTGGTATTTAAAAATGATTCTTTAAAGGTGATCTTATAGTACGGGATTAGTTGGTGTTTGAATTTTTGAATTTTTAAATTTGAGAGAACACTGTATTTTTGTAATTCTAAAATGTATCTACAATTTGAAGTCATGATTAGCGCATTTGTACAAAAGTTTACCTGTAATTAAATTATATCGAATGATTGGGCTTTCTTACCCAAAATGAATAATAACAAAAAATTTTACTAGTTGCAAAATGTAAATATATAATGATCTCAATTATTTTAAACAATTAAACTAATTTCATTCATCTGTAAATAAAAAATGCATTTTATTAGATTTATTTTTATTATTTCAGGACATTATTGTAATCATATGTTCACAATGTCTTTGAATAAAAATCAAGGTAGTCGAACTGTAGTGGAGCCAGTAGCTCTTGGGTCTCAGACATTATCCGACACTGAGTTAAGTTCTTTAACATTAACTCATAGTGGTGAACAATATGCTGCAAACGATTATGAAACACTTGCAAATATTGAAGCTGAATTGGAGTGCATGAATGCTGAAGAAGTTATGACTACAGAAGAAGAAAATAGTACTATAATTGAAGTAAACAATGAAAACGATGCTTTATTATCGGATGTAGTATTGACTGACGGACAACAACAAGAGGTACAGACTGAACAAATTATATACACCACTGCCAATCAAAGTAGTCAAAATCTAATTTTGCAAACAAAACCAACATTACAGAGGGTGCCTTCAACAACTTCAGTTCAAGTATGTCGTTTACTTTTAGTTTATAATGATTTTTAATTTTTAATAATTATTTCTCTATAATTTTGTATCACACTTTTTAATATGTCTTTGGTATGTTAAAATGTTTAGTACATTAAAATTAATAGCCTTTCAAAGTATTCAAGGATTTTAATTTTCAATTCAACATTAACACATGCACAATTCACAATAAACTGTGTATCCATATTTATCACATTAATAATGGATTATTTTTATGCGTACAGATTAAGCCAAATGTTAGTCATACTCAAAGCCAATCTATAATGATTGTCTCTCCAGCAGCAGGAGGTGGAGCAAGTCAAATTTTAAAAATTTCTCATCCAGCTTCAGCATCTGCCAATCAATTACAATCATTAGCTCAAAGCTTAATAACGGGTAAATCTCCAGATGGTAACATTGTACAGATTAGATCAACACCAAGTAACAAACAAAACATCGCTGCAAAAACATCAGGGAACATTACATTAGGCAATGTACAGAATGTGAAAACAGTTCAGTCTGTTAGTGGAAAGCGAACTAGTCACAATGTTCAGCAAAATAGAAATGTAACATTTCAATAATATATATTTAATAATTAAAATTCGGATTGTATTTCGGATTATTACTCGTTTTTTTTTTATTACATTATAGGTTTATACAAAAATGATTTTGACTAATACACAACCACAGACAGGACAGCAAGTATTAATTGCTTCGTCACCTGAAAATCAACAAGGGCAAACAATCAAATTTTTAAGTAGTGGTTCCTCAAATTTAAATATGAATAGCCCAACGAAAACGATAACCTTTGCACAAGCTCAGCAAATGGGTCTTCTGCCATCTAATAAAGTACAACATATATTACCATCATCACAGAAACAAACTGTAAATTTTATTCTCATTTTATCATATGCATATTGAATAAATTTATATTCATAAATGATGAAATTATTTTAGGGCATAATTGTTAATAAACTGGTACAATCAACATCAGCTCAACCAGCGAAACTAACAATCGTTCCAAACAGTGCAGTTAAATCACCTACAAAGATATTACCTGCCCCAGCCACAGGGTCAACAAAGTCAGGTAATTCACAAACCGGTTCTCTTTCTTCGACAAGTAAAGTTATGCATCAGAATCCTCAGAAAGTTATTATCAGACAGGTATGACATAAAACTTTACAAATCTAATTGATCTATAAAAGAAAGTTAAAGGCAACCCTTCACTTTATAGAGTTCATTGAAATCTGGAGTAGTACATAATAATAATCCTATTATAAGGATACCAGCTAATCAAACAATTGGCACTAATCAAGTGCATCAGTTACAAGTTCCTGGGCGTCAAGTAAGTATATTTAATTTTGTAATTTACACAATATTGCAAATACAATATAAATAGTACAGACAATATTGTATCCTGATATTTATATTATAGGTTCAATATGTCCGATTAGTAAGTACTCCATCTTCTGGCACAAGTAATGTCGTAACAGTTGGAAAAACGAAAACACCGACGGCTCTTCAGACTGTAGGAGTAACTCAAAAAATTAGTGGACAACAACAAATTGTTAAGGTTTGAATGAAGTAAACGTTCTACTCAAAATTATTAAATTATCAAATATTTGATATTAACATTATATTATATTAATAGGTAGTACCGTTGAACACTGGTAGCCAAACATTAAGAACTGTAGCACCAAAATCGGCATTATCAGGAAACAGTCAGAGATTAATAATACCTGCTACAACACAAATTGGGAATCAATCTAAAAATAATACAGTGACCATCCCTGCTTCTGCATTAAGTCAGCTTACATCTGGTCAAGCTGTTATATCTACCAATTCCAATGTTGGTAATATAGTGGTTCTTCCAGCTCAATACCTCCAACAAGTATGCTATTTATTTATGTAGTTTCAATCCTTATTTAATAATTAATTTAAATGATACATACAATGTTATTATTAAGTTATAAATCATTTGTTTCAAGATTTTATTCGAAAATCTGTATTAAGCAAGACAATACTGATTAGAAATTAAATTAATTATAAAACTTTTACAGCAGACAGATGATTCAAAACATAAATCTCAACAATCAACACCAACTTTATTAAATAATTCACAAGGTCTTATTGGAAATTCAAGTTCATTATCAGAGTCAAAAATGTCAAGATCTTTTAATAATTCTGAAACTAATGGTATCAGACCTCGAAAACCATGTAATTGTACAAAATCTCAATGCTTAAAATTGTAAGTAACTATATTTTATGTTTAAAATAGGTTATACAAAACATTGTCAGATGTTTTTTATTATAAAAATATTTTGTATAAATATATTTATTAAAATTGTAATAATCCTACTTCAGCCAGAACAAAACATTCATTTGTTTCTATTCCAAAAGAAAATTGACAATCTTAAAGCCTTCCACAAAGATAATGTAAAGAATCATAGGACATTCTTTCTGACTAATCCTATTCTGTTTAAAACGTTCAATTATAAAACTAACAAAATTTTCATTTATTAAAATGTACGCGTGTAGATACTGTGACTGTTTCGCCAATGGAGAGTTTTGTCATATGTGCAATTGCAACAACTGCTCTAATAACCTCGGAAATGAAGAAGAACGACAACGAGCAATTAAGTCATGCTTAGAACGAAACCCGAATGCTTTTCGTCCGAAAATTGGGAAAGGCCGTGATACGGGAGAAGATATTAGAAGACATAATAAAGGTTGTAATTGTAAACGCAGTGGTTGCTTAAAAAATTACTGTGAATGCTATGAAGTAAGTTTAAATCGCATTTTTAAGAAAGCCATTAGGAAAATTCGTATTAAATAATGTTTATATAGTGAATTCTAAAAATAGAGATTTTTATAAAATATTTGAAAATATATATATTTATTTGTATATCTATATATGTATATATATATATATATATATATATATATATATATATATATATATATATATATATATATATATATATATATATATCCTAAAAATGATTTAGAAAATTTATTTGCAATTCTTATATTAAATAGAATGTAATTTTGTAATATAGTAATAGTTATTGATAAAAATTTTCCTGTAAATTTTTACCCGAAATTTATTTCGATCCTAAATTTTTTAAAATCAAATTTATTTATATAGGCAAAAATACCGTGTTCTGAGAATTGTAAATGTGTTGGATGCCGCAATGTAGAAGAATCAACTTTACATAAAAAATCTTTAAAAGATTTAGCTGAAGCTGTTGAAGTCAGAACTGCACAGTTATCTTTAAATAAAGTAAAAATGCAACAAATGTCTGATGCAACTTTCAGACCACCAGCTATATCGAACACTGGTGCAAGGTATTCAATATTAAATATTTTTAATAAATTTTATTTCAATCAGTAATGTTTTATTTTATATTTTTATTTTTTCCAGACAACCTTTTAATTTCTTAACAGATAAAGTTGTAGAGATGACCTGTCAATGCTTAATGGCTCAAGCTGAAGAGGCTGAACGAAATATGTTTGATGATGAAACATCTGAAAAATTAATAATCGAAGAGTTTGGTCGGTGTTTGAAAGAAATTATCGAATCTGCACACAAAGCAGAAGCTACTTAGCAGAGAACTTTTAAAAAACATAATGATGTTTATCTACTGCAGTGTTTATCATAAATATTTTTAAGAGCAAAAGGTTTTTCTACTTAAACATTTGAATAATATGTAGAGTGGAAATAATAGATTATTATTTGTATTAATACCAAAGATGGTATATTGAATAATTCAATATGAAATTTAAATACTGGATTTGGTGATATTTAATATTATGTGTGAAGTCATACTGATCACTTGTTAATAAGGTGTATTTTCATCATTGCTAGATCTATTTATCTATTTTAAGCTGTATAGTTCAAATATAACTTTAATTTTTTTTTTTTTTAAATAAGCTAGACCTAATTAAACTTCATTAAATTAAATTGTTTTTGTCTAAATTTTGAAAAGATTCAGTGCTGTAGTTTAATTTCTTAAAATTTTCTATAAATACTGATACAGTAATATATAATATATATCATAATATAAAATAGCTTTTTTATCTTTAAATAAATTATTTTGATCATAATTTTTAATACCAAGGTTTCTAGCGTTGAATCTATGAAAATTTATTTAAACTTAGCTTATAATTAGAAAATTTTTATAAAACAAATTTGTATTGGAAATGTTCATTACATACAATAAATTAAAAATTAATTTGTAATATTTTAGTAAACAAACTATACAAAATTCATGAACTTATTTGAAATGAAAACCTTGCAATGGAATACCAAGGTTTTTATAAAATAAATGCATTTGATTTAAAAGCAAATGTATATCAAAATTTAATAGTCAAAAATTAATAGTTAATAAGTTGAATAATTTTTTTTGTCAATGAACAATTTGTAATTAATGCATATATTTAGATAATTGCTCAGTTAAATATTTATATACTTATGGTATGTAGATTTAATAATGTTATAAAAATAAATAATAAAAAATCATAGCACTTCAAGTGTAATAGGCTAAATAAATAAGAAATTATATGAATTTGAATGCTTAGTATGAATTGGAAATTTAATAAATGTGTAAAAAAAAAAAGAAGGAAATGTGGAAATAGGCTATAAGGGATTTTTTACAATATGAATATAAGTTAAAAATTGAATTGCGATGGTTGGAAATATTTGAGTATCATGATTTAAATTTCTAATTTTGTTTTGTGGCAAATTTTATGTGAGATTTGAATGGAAAATGACCGTGATCGAGAAGCGAAAATATGCTATAATTGCATTTATAACTATACACAACAATTATACATATGAATAATAATATGAATTCTAATTTTTATATTTGTTTAAATATATCAAATCTATTATATCTTAACAGAAGAAGAAAATTGTATAAAGTAATTATACAATATAGACAAGCAAAGGTAATCAACTCTTAAATTTATTGCACGAAAAATAAGTTAGGAGTTTTTTCCGGTTTTTAAATTATGTATAAGTAAAAATAAAACATAATATTTGTAAAATCTGTAGAATATTGACTTTAAAATAGCATGTAGTCAAGTAGATAGTAATATAAGTAATTGTAAATTAGACATAAATATAAAATATTGAATATATTTACAAATCGATTTATCTATCATAAACACTTTAATTTGTGTTTTATGTACTATAATAATGAAATTTGTTAAGTGCTTGTAATATCCAGCACTAAGTGTAAAAACATATAATAAATATTGGGCTTTTATGAAAATAATTGTCATTTTCCTGATGTAATATAAAAGTAAGCAATATTTACACGCACGCAGACACATACACACGCATATTTAAATAAAAAATTTTAATTAAATATACACATTTTTATTCTAAAACTTTACAATTTTTTTACTTGGTTTGACTTTTAAATCAACCTTATTGATTTCATTATCTAATAATTCTAAATTTTTATCATTTATCGTATCAAGAGTAATTGCCGTATCTTCTTTCTGTTTTATCAATTCTGAACAATCCTTTCTTAAATGTGTAACGTCTCCACATATTTTACATGAGCCACCATCAGGATATAATCCTTTGGGATTATCAGGACATTGCTTTGCAATATGCCCCTGTTCTCGACATATAAAACATTTTGCATATTTATACTCGTTAGATTTATTTACTTTGCATTCGAAATGAGTATGTTCCGTTGAACCACATTTAAAGCAAATCCCTGTAATTATTTCTTCTTTTTCAAGCTCTGGACAATCCGACAAATTATGCCCGGCTTTTCTGCAGTGAAAGCAAACTTGTTTCTTGATACGCGTTAAAGCCTTTTCACATTTTCGTCTCTCTAATTTCATAGCTGCATCGATTTCCAATTTAGGTATTCCTATAAAAATATTCAAATACAGAGAACATTAATTAAAGCAGAGTGCAAAAGTATAATGGTTGAGAAGTATTGGATTTTGTAAATTACCTTTTAGAATCATTGTTTTTCGTAGCTCGATTAATCGTTTAGCATCCTGTTTTATAATTGGAAAGCCGTCGTATTTCACAATTTCCACATCCATTCCGTTAATTGTAATTTTCATTGATCCATAATCTGATTTTCTACGGAAGTGTTTATCGTCTTTAATTCTATCTGTCTTTTTCTGAAACTTCTTAGGGATATTATCAAATTTGTTATTAAATTTTCTATTTTTATTAGAGTTTCTTGCATTATTTCGATTATTTTCATCTTTATTATTATTATCATTATCATCAAATATCGTTTCAGCGTTACTTTGAATATATTCCTTGCTTTCATTTGTGAAATTTTTTGCTAATTCTAGTAGTCTCCAATTCTTTGCCATTTCGAGTTTATATTTAGAACTATTTTGAACTTTTGTATCATCGTTTTTATTTATATATTCATTTGACTCCGAATCGGCAGATTCATTTTTAGTTTTTTGTCTTTTTTTCAGTTTAACATCTATTTCTTCGTTCATAGTAGTTTCTAATACATTTTTTGGTTCCTTTTCTACTGACGCATTATAATTAGAATTATCATTTTTGCGCTTAAGTTTCTTTAATCTGGTAGACTTGTTTTCTGAATATTCCAAAGACTTTTTATCTTGATTTTTAACATCGTTAACAATAGTTTTTTCTGTCCTCGATTTAGTAAGAGTTTGAATTTTTTTATTTTGAATTTGCAATCTCTTTTCGATCTTACTACCCTTTGAAGTATTCTTTTGCGACGGTGAATTTTCAAATTGTGCCCAATTTGTCTTTATATTCGCTAAATATTTTGGAGAATAAATATCCTCTTTACCTTCAAGTAACTGTTTAGCTGATTTTGTTTTTTGTTGAGGAACTTCTTCTTTTTCTGCGATAGATTCCAATTGCTGCTTCATAACGTACCATGGTGTAGGCTCATTTGGTAATCGCTCGTTCGATGATTTTGAACCTTTCGATCTTGCATATCGAGTCATAATATATCAATTGATATCTGAAAATAGTTTGTAGTGATAAAATATTTAATTGTAAGCATGATTTAGCGGTAGAGGATATTAGAAATATATTAGAAATAATCGCTGTATTAACGGCATAATAGACTTTTCAAAATCACTATATTAAGTATAGAATAAATTTTTTAAATTTAAGAAAAAATTTTTCTTAAACAGCTAATGTAACAAACCTTTGTCGGCAGAAACTCCAAACAATTGTTTTGTCTTCAGACGTCCATTTTCAAGTAAATATAACCTAAAATTCAATGTTTTCCATGTGATTTGGACTCGATTTGACTCGTGCGACGAAAAAGCCAAACGTATATTTATGTTTTATTCTACAATTTGGACTGTTGAAAATGTATGATTTGACAAGTATTAAATATATTTATTGGAAAAACCATTTACAAATTACATTTAAAATTTACACTTCAATGGATTCACGTAATTAAGAGTATCGATTGATAATCTATAGATAAATAATATAGATTCTTGCTCATTTAAAAATATCAAATTAAAAATTGTATGATTTTTGTGGTAAATGTATAAAAATGCAATATGAAATGTAATAATTCATGAGGAATAATTAAAATTTATTTATATTTTATATAATAATTTATTGACTTAGTATTTTTTTTTAATAAAATATTGCTGCCCTTTAGAATCTGGTAATATATAAACAAGATTAATCCTAGTGTCACGTTATTTAAATATAATTTTTTTAATGTAAATACAAGCTTTTCTATAAAATAGGAAATTAAACTGAAAAAAAAACTAATAACAATTACATAAAATTTCAGAATGCTTTAATACCGAAAAACAGAAATATCGTTCCTACAGATCAATAATTTTCAAACTTGTCAAGCTCAAGTTTGGCATTTAACGATCAATTTAATAATACTTAATATCTAAAGGTAATTTTAAAATATGTAACATTTAAATATATTGAAATTTAATTTGTTAATTGATAATAGTTGAGTTAATATATAATGATTTATAAACGCTTCTATATCGTCGTTCTATATCGTATTTAAGATATTTAATAAATTTATTGAAATGGTATTTCAGTTTTTAATAAATCCAATGATATATCAACGCGACAACGCACTATTTCTAAACATTTAACATTAATCAGGTTGAGTAATATGAATTTCATCAATATATTCTGCGCTTTATTTCTTTATTACACACAAATTATATTGCTTGATCATACATATTGTGTATCAAGTCAAATATCTTTATTCTTTTCATACAAACAGAATTTTCATTGTGAGTCTTTAATGAATTCGTAAGACAAATGTTTTTTTATGATCTTCGAGATGAAATCAGTAGACGTGCGACATTTCAAGAAAACATTCACTCTTGTAGGTGACAAGATTTTCTACATTTTATCCTCTATCGCGGCTCAATTCAAATAATTATGGCTTTTACAGTTCAGAAATTTCCAATGGAAAATGCCTATGTCTAATAACTTGTCTCATTTCTTCTTTTTTAAATATTATTTCCATCTTCCATGTTCGATTTTTCAATCAATGGTATAACTCTAGTGGACATTCACAAAAATGTTAAGTTTCCATACTAAGAATGTTATTATTATTATTATTGTTATTATTGTTATTATTGTTATTATTGTTATTATTGTTATTATTGTTATTATTGTTATTATTGTTATTATTGTTATTATTGTTATTATTGTTATTATTGTTATTATTGTTATTATTGTTATTATTGTTATTATTGTTATTATTGTTATTATTGTTATTATTGTTATTATTGTTATTATTGTTATTATTGTTATTATTGTTATTATTGTTATTATTGTTATTATTGTTATTATTGTTATTATTGTTATTATTGTTATTATTGTTATTATTGTTATTATTGTTATTATTGTTATTATTGTTATTATTGTTATTATTGTTATTATTGTTATTATTGTTATTATTGTTATTATTGTTATTATTGTTATTATTGTTATTATTGTTATTATTGTTATTATTGTTATTATTGTTATTATTGTTATTATTGTTATTATTGTTATTATTGTTATTATTGTTATTATTGTTATTATTGTTATTATTGTTATTATTGTTATTATTGTTATTATTGTTATTATTGTTATTATTGTTATTATTGTTATTATTGTTATTATTGTTATTATTGTTATTATTGTTATTATTGTTATTATTGTTATTATTGTTATTATTGTTATTATTGTTATTATTGTTATTATTGTTATTATTGTTATTATTGTTATTATTGTTATTATTGTTATTATTGTTATTATTGTTATTATTGTTATTATTGTTATTATTGTTATTATTGTTATTATTGTTATTATTGTTATTATTGTTATTATTGTTATTATTGTTATTATTGTTATTATTGTTATTATTGTTATTATTGTTATTATTGTTATTATTGTTATTATTGTTATTATTGTTATTATTGTTATTATTGTTATTTTGTTTTCATTAAACCGCGAAAGCGAAATGGCGCACGAATTCAATTATAGTAATGAGAAGGAAGCAAACGATCCGCTAAACTGTCGTCGGCCGGCTTAGGGTCATCAATCGAGATTCTTTGATCAGAGCTGCGCTCATAATCGTCCTCGGGTCGCTTCTCATTCAGTCTTCGCTGCAGTGAGTCGCGCTCGGTGTCGGTGCTAGCAGGTCTGATGGGTCGCAGAGAGACGTAGAGATGGTTATCGAGAGCAGGCGCACACTTGGGTCCAGGAGACGGATCCCCGGCTATCGGCTAGCTCTTCCTCGACGCTGTCGGCTAACGGTCTGTCGCGCGTCTCCGGTAAGACGAGGCACGCGAGTGCGGCCCCGAGAACCAAGACCCCGCATAAGGTGCTAGGGCCCCACCAGGCCAGCGTCACGAGGTTGTCGACGCTGAAAGGTGCGACGATACTGCCTACGTGGGCCATCGCCGCGCTCGTCCCCAAGGCTGAACTCCGGGCGATCTGAGACACGCAACCGATTGCATTATTCGTTAAAATTATTGCATTATTAGAGAATTTTCTCTTGTCAATTTTGTTGTCAAGCGCCTCTTAAGTGGTCGTATTTAGCAGCGTAAATCAATGCTACTTACAATGTTTAATCGTTAAGTTAAATTCAAATTGTGAAATAACGCGCGCGATAAATCTAGCTGTCGCGGCTATGCAAATAAATTTCGTTGTAATAATCTTTATTACCAATGTTATACGTAATAAATATATTTTATCGACAATTCAATAGCGACAGGTTATGAGTATTTCTGGGTATTACGACAAATATTGATGAAGAAAATATTCAACCAAGTATTCAGTGATAAAATGTAGTTTTGGAAATAGTTCGTTGTAACACGTTCGCCTTAGTTAAACAATCTTCGCTTCGATAATCTATAACCGAGCGCTCGATATTTAAAATAACTTGTTAAAGCGCAATGCTCGGAGGGCCGTATTATAAATGTGTAGCGCGTAACGAGATATTAGCGTGCTATCTCCGTTGCAGGCTCGAGTGATAAAGCTGAGTGGATAATGTTGACGTGTACCGTTGGGAAGAGTTCCGAGGCGTAGAGGATCATAATTCCATAAGCGGCTGACAATGAGAATCGACTAATGAGATTGACCGAGACGATGGCCACTGTCTGGGATCTTGGCAGGGCAAGTATGACGATGAGCAGCAGACCGGAAGTGCCGAAGAGAATCGAGCTGGCCTGCCTTCGTCCCATTACCATCAATACCGGGGTTGGTAGCAGGTACGCCGGTATTTCCGTAACCCCCAGCAGCAGAGCGTAAAGGTAGTAATTTACGGATACAGCGTCGACGTTAAGTGCTGTGACGTGAAAGAAACGACATTAATAATAAGGTGCGAATGTATGAGGTTTGCCAGTGGAAAAGCCGAGAGCGTCCTTTGGCTAATCCACTAAATGATTTTAATGGATTTAATTAAAGTTCGATTATCCTTTCGATTGTGGCGAGTGCTAGTAGATAAGCGTGCACGAGATTTAAGATGTTAATCATGATTTTGTTAATAGTAAATATGTTAGCGTTAAAAAGACATTAAAAAAAAATATTTATTTATTTATTATTATTATTATTTATTTTATTTTTTTTACCGAATATATTATTATAAGTGGGCTTAGAATACTTATTGTGCCCTTACCTAATGTGTAGTATGTGAAGGACGCAGTCATCCAGGTAAAGTACGAGATGCAAGTTCTTTTTTGTAATTCTCGATTGTTGAATATGATTTTCAACCCATTCAATTGGTTTGTCAGAAGATTTGATTGAACGTTTTTCGCATTTACCGCAGGCTTATTAGTTTTCGACGAGGGTGATTCTAAAGTAAGAGTCATGTCATCGGGATAATTTGTTATGGGCCCGTAAAATTTTTCGATAATGTCACGAGCCAAACCGCGCTTGCCCTGCGAAATTAACCATCTTGGTGATTCGGGCATAAACCTGTAAATTATCAAAATACTTTTGAAGTTATAATTATAACGAATAAAATTATATTTATGGCTAATTCATAAATAAAAAAAAATCCTTGAAAGTTAAACTTGTAATGTATCAAGATAAAATATTACTAAGCTTTTTCAACATATTAATTTAACGTTTCATCTTTACTATTTTGTTCACTTCATATGCATAATAAATCATTGTTATATGTAACGAAATATTGTGAAATAATTCGTAATATGATTTGAAAATACTAATATTAATATTCGAATATAGAAAGTGCAATGTATTCTAATGCCGTACTAATGATAATTCTGTTAAATATTGAAAATAATTTTTTCCATTTGAAGGATGGAAACATAATAAAAGTAACGACAAGTTATCAATTATTTTTTAACATTTTATGTAAACTTTATGTCTAATGTTCTATGTCATTGGATTATTTATTAAAACATGAAAAATTATTAAAGAAAATGTCTATTTTTTGCTTCATCTTCTTCTTTTCTTTAACTATTATTTACGATCTTTTATCCGAATGTAATATATTACTCAGCTTAGTTACCAGAGATCCAATTTCCGATGTTACGCAATTGCGACAATTATCTTTAAAATAATCTTTTAAGTATTTATACAACCGTAGATACGCAATTTATTTAAATGAAATTTATATTTGGTTTTTAAAAATATGTCAGCATACATAAGTATAGAAATACGACATCGATATAAAATAAAAAAGATATTAAAAGCATGAAATTTTTAAATAATATAAACTAAATATGAGAAAATAATGAAAGATGAAAGAAATGCATTCATAAAATTTCGAGATATAATTAAACATAAACATGTTTAATTAAAAACATTAGTAAAATTGATTGACATTTGTGAAGCATTATGTTTAATGTTTTCGGCTAATATTCTAGAGAGAAAAGAGTAAACAATTTGCTTTAGGTATTTTAAATTGCTTTCCAATAATAATAATAATAATAATAATAAAATAATAATAATAATAATAATAATAATAATAATAATAATAATAATAATAATAATAATAATAATAATAAATTGATAATTATTATGGGAAAATTATGAGAAATTTATATTCAGGCACAGTGAGAAAATATTTTTGAAAATAATGTGCATTAAATTCTTAGAAATTACGCATAAGGGTGTACATTAAAGGGTAAATGGTTTGGGGGTCGGGGGCATTATCCGTAACGCAATGACAAACAACGAATGCAATAAGTTACAATTATTTCATATAAAAAAAAAAGGTATAAATGAAAGAATTACGATGATCGAGGGAGTCTTTATTCTATTGACGTCCAAAGATAAGAGTCGGGCGAAAAAATAATTCAAACTGCATTTAAGTGACTAAAAATCTCTACACCATTATACGCAATACTAAGAATAATGAAAGAATAAGGAGGAGGAGGAGGAGGAGGAAGAGGAGGAGGAGGAGGCACCAGCTAGTCGTGGTACGAGGAGGGCAAGGGAGAGCAGAAGGACGAGCGGGAAAGAGATACAGAAAAGATGACGAGAGGATAATAAGACGAATAATAGTTAAAGATAAGCGCCATGGGCGCATGGCACTCCACCTCGAATCGAGAGTCATTGTGCTGCCGCTCGGTTTTTCTCGACGTGGCACCTACCAGACGAATAAAAGGAGTATTAGGGACGGCAGCGAGGTGGCGACTTGTACCTGTCTCCAGTCACTGGCCAAATAAGATATTCCGGCGACGAATATCGAACCGCTGGCGAAGCCACAATTGAAGGCTAGAGCCATCCATTGTCTGTGCGTGTTGCCGGCCACTTCTGTCACTGCAACCAAATAACAATATGACGAGCCATCGCGAGTCAGGTGTGTTGCTTATATAATATAATGTCTCGTCCTCTATTGTGTCCTCCGCTCTATGCAAGAGAGGAGAAAAAAAAAATATATATATATATATATATATATATATATATCAGGGCACTAGATACACTGCTGGCCAAAAGTTTCAACTAGTGAGAGCAAATGAAATCAAGAATACCGGTCACGAGACCGGTATGTCTCATCTGCAATCGGTCCTTTCAATACGGGTCCTGGAAAGCTAAGATTTTAATAAGCTCCGGCGAAACAATAACAGAAACAAAAATTGTAAAAAGTATCGATCTCCGTCATGGCTCTTTTAATCGCTTAAGCTTTAAAGTTACACGCGTGGCTCGTATGTATGATATTTTTCAAAAGCCACGTTTCAACGTTTACGAGACACGTTATGTTTTATTTTCGATTGAATCAAACATTAATCTTTGTGTGCTAAGACTTTGAACTTGAATTCATTAATACAACTCATCCGATTACATTGTTGCAAAGTGTTTATTGAAAAGTTACATTTATCATTTGCTCGATACGTTGAAATAGCCGCGTTCGAGGCAACATTAAGAATGTTTTATGAAAATTGTACAATTTTCCAAATCGAGAAGAGCGTATCGATTTCAAAATTTAGCCATAAGTGCCTGAGTATATTATAATAGTTGCACTCGACATCTCGATAAATGTTTTTCATAAACAAATTATTGCAGCTCGCGTAATTGGTAGTAAACAAAACGGGGCGGACGCGTTGCCATTTCGGTAAGCGGAAAAATAATGAAAATAATCTCCTATCGTTCTCCCGATGTCTTCTGCCCTCCCTCCCCCCCCCCCCTCCATCCCCCCCCCCTCATCATACCTTGTCAAATTAGGATCAGGCAGACGCGAGCCGACCAGACGATACTTTTGGCCATCGGTGTACCCATGCAACTCACGTGTCGTGAGCGAGGAAAACTGAATTGCTGAGAAGCCAAGGCCCGTGACGAGGCGCAGTATCACGAAGGTCCAGTACCAAGGGACGAAGCCGCTCACTGGGCCCGCGACGACGAAGAGAACAATGCCGAGGGCGTAGACGCCACGGCGGCCGTACCTGTCGGCGCTCACCCCAAGAATCCCGGCACCCAGCATCTTCCCGAGCGACAGGGCCATATGGATTGTCGCTCGCTTCGGGCCCTCGTCGCACACGAGGTTCCACTGCGAATCCATAGATACGAGCTTCAATGCCTTTACTTATCATTGGCCAGTCGCGCCTCGATCGTCCTCATCGCCCTACATCATCATCCTCCATTTTCATCCGATTAATGGCTCTTTCGACTCTACTCGTGCTTTCGACCTTACGTCGAGATTTTTTTGTTTTTGTTTCCTTTTTATTTTTCATTTTTGCCTTGCTTTGTTTTCTTTAAAAAGCCTACCCTCACGAACCCAACGTGTGGATAATGAATTATGGATTTAGGTAGGCTCGAGCCTTGTATGAGGTACTATAATCTGGCAATCGTATTATGCTGTCGAAAAACCAAGTGTATCTGTGATGTATTGTGGCGTAGTCGTCTATGCTCGCGTAACAAGGCTTATTTTCTCTCTCTCTCTCTCTCTTTCCCCTATTTATAGGGACACCTCGCACACAGAGACTCTACGTGCTTTTATTAAGTAGCCACGTACGAAGAATGGAGAATAGTTTGCGCTTAAGATTATGTGCTTCTGGCATTATCGAATTAGTCTTTAAATTAAACATTGTTATGAAAAATATTACTTGACATATTACAATTGTAAATATTGAAATATTTGCCATGTTCAGTGCGTTACTCTGTCTCTCTCTCTCTCTCTCTCTCTCTCTCTCTCTATATATATATATATATATATATATATATATATATATATATATGTATATATATATATAGAGAGAGAAAAAAATGTATACCAAACATGATTTTACTGAAATAATTATAAGATTAAGAAATCGATTTATACTACAAATACAAATATACACTACAAATAATATACAAAAGAGAAAGATAAACAAAACATAATTTAATACTCCGATCAAAAAGCCTAGTAATAATCGGATTGCTTTACCAGATTGTTTTAAAAAGAAAATGAGATTTATGTTATATTCAGGCTTTTCCAAACAATAAATCCCAATTGACTAAAAACGCTTAAAAAATCATGCTCTCTCCACACCCCCCTCCCGCCCCCTCCCCAATAATTAATAAGCATCTATTTGAAAATCACAAAAGTCGAGCTCGTGTCTATGGTTCTATTATATTATGGCGATGATGACAATGCTCACCTCCTCGACCATTGACTTTCTCTCCACATTGGCTGCGTAATTATACTCCGTGCATTTGACGGTTCCCGTGGTTTCGTGATGTTTCTCAACGTATTTCAAAGATTCCTCGAAGCCTATTTCGGCCAAGTGTGAATAATCATAGTCGTACTTGGCGCACGAGCCGACCGACGAAATGTTGCGAATTTGGTCGCTCGTCCAATTAGCTTTGGTGAGCTCTGGCACTGCGCACCAATGAATTGGAATCTGACGACAATAAGATTATTTCGAACTCCGCTATTTATCCGACCTTAATGCATGAATTTTTCTTTTCTATTTCTTTTCTTTTCGTTTATTTGTGTGCACGTGCGCCAATTTGTTCTCCCTCGTTTTGTTTTTTCTCTTGGAAAAACCAATTCTGATATTATTAGCCTTATCAATTGTCTACGATTATAATTTTTCTATCGTAGACATATGCATGTAGGTATATTGTATGTACATAAATGTGCATATATGCAATGTAGATACATCATATATGCGAAATATGCATCAGTACTATTCATTAAATCCAGTAAACAATACTGAAATAAGCGATGATACTTTTTTTCCCTTCCGACTCATAGATAAGTTATACGAATTAGCCGAAGAAGTAAGAGTTTCTTCTTCTTTTTTTTTCTTTTTATTTCATAAGCTTATGATAGGCAGTAAAGTGAAAATGATTGATAAATAGGCATTCAACGTTCAAAATATCCCGTAAAAATTTCAATACATAATTTGCAAATAAAAGTCTCGCGTCTATGATAATATGAAAAAAAAAAATAATAAAATAAAAGACAAAACAAGAGAAAAGTGCGACAAATGTATTTTAATGGATAATGTATACTTAGAAGTTATTTGATAAAATTTCCGTAGCACTCGGTCGATCAGGAATTATCAAATTTATTCGGAAATTCGACTAGATCCCCTACGTAGCTTATCAATAATCTCCTCCATCTTCGAATTTCATGTCGAATGGACAATCGAACCCATCGACATCGCTTACACAATCAATTCACATGGCACTCGTCACTTATCACACAGCTCTCGTCATCTCTAATCGAGAAATAATTAACATGAAGCTCCTCGTGATCCTGTCACTGTCCAGCACTTCCTCGCGCGCCGGATGAGCCTTCGGAGAACATGCCGCCGCCGCTCTCTCTCTCTCTCTCTCTCTCTCTCTCTCTCTCTCTCTAATCAAGTACTCACCTGGGCTATGAATATATACGTGTTGGAGTGCATGCCGGCGAAGATTGTGGGGAACATGGTAAAGAAGAATACCATCCAGAGGAAGGGCGAGCCCTCACCGAGCTTGTCGAGCGCCTTCGTCAGAGGATCCGTCTCGGGCTGAGCGTCCGGCTTCGCGTCCATTTTCGCTCTGCGACGCTTAGCATTGCGGAACTTGGGCTTATCAGGAGTTTCGCCACCATCCTCCGGACACCCGCGAGCCTCCTGCCGCGCAAGACGCTTTATCAGCTCCTCGCTATTGCAAGCCTTCTCGAGGACGCGCACTCATTTATCTATTACGGTGGTTTATTATTTTTTTTTATGATAATTAGCGATATTTAATTACTCGATGATAAGCGACTCTGACATTGTGGCTAGCTATTCGCGAGCGCAGATTGCGCTTTGCTTGCTATTCTTTGCCAATGCCAATATCGGCATTTCGATTGTCCGTAGGCGATGCCTAATCCGAAGCTTCTTCCCTTCGCTTATATTTACTATAACGACCCACACAATCAAACGTCGTAAATTTGCTACTTCGTTCTCTGCGATGCAATTCGATCTATTGGGCATAAAGTCAAGCTGTGCAATTCGTTTAGCCGAACAATATTGATTCGAACGGCCAGCGGCGCCCATTGCTCTTGAAGAACGCTTTGTTTATTCGAATACAAGGCAAGAATTGAAGATCATTGCTCGATATATTATTACCACAATGAAATATAGAGTTAAGGTTTATTGGTGACTATGGTTGGGAGGAGATGGTCCATCTATCGGCGGGTTGTACGCGAGGTGGAGCAAAACGTGTGACGATGTCGTTCAGTGCGCAAATGAAAGTGTCGATCTTATAGCCGATTTCTATTAGCAGAGAAAACAACTCCATCGTTCTTTTCTGTATAGAAGAACGTACAGTAAGAAAGTTGTCCTCGTGTCATATTCGTCCCGTGACTTAAACCTTACATAAAGGAGGTGAGGAGCTGTGTTTCGTCGGTCCTCGGTTATGCGTAAAACGATCTCTCTGGTACATCAGACGCAGTAGGATTTAAGCATTTAATTAAATGGTGTTAGGAACGGTTTATTACTCGCAAGAATGACAATAAAAAATCGTTTCTACAGGAGAGTAGGATTATTAATTCATTTTGTATTATTGTATGAATTACTGACCGTAAATGTTGTAGCTTTTGAAACAACGGTTACGTCGATCTAACGCGTTGTTATTGCCGTAATAAAATCAAATCAAATCACCTACACGCGAGACCCCGTTAAACAAACATTTTATAGAAATAAATTAAAATCAAACAATGAATAAACAATAATAAATCAACAATTAGCATTATTTAATTATTTAAATAACTTTTTAAACTACGATTTAAGATCTATATGTCGAATTTTTTAATTTCATATTTGTACCGATTAAACACTTATTAAAATTTTTATTAAATTTGCATGGTCGAAAAGGATTTTTATAAAAGAAACTATTATAAATAAAAGGGTTTATACATTTAAATAACCAAATAGATCGTTAAAACGTTAATTCGATTAACTCTATGCTTGAGCACAAAAGCCAGATTTATCTTAATAGCTATTTTTATGCATATAAATGCATACTTATTCTCATTAATAAATTTCACGGTTGTCAATAAAGAAAGTAAAAGACATTTTTATATGATAATTGTTAGAAAGTAATTACTTTTTCTTTAAAATTTATTTATATATTTAGTGATTGGTTTTCCTTCTCTATATTACCGAATAACAAACTTGTTTTTTTTTTTTATTAAGTTTTTCTTCTTATATATAAACGAATGCCAAATACATCAAAATTTTATTAAGTATATTTTTCATACTATAAAGCAATTGTTATTTATCGAAATACTTTGGTTTTGTTTTGGATTATTAAATTTTTGAAAATAAATTGACGATAATATCACAATAAATACAACTTTTTTGTTATAACTATTCAAATGGAGCTAACTATTGAAATGGCTAGAAGGGACTTGCAGAAGAAAATTTTTTTATATATATTTTTATATTTATACATTATTTCCTTGCAGAGTTGCTCCACTAATGGTATGTATACAACTGAAAGCTAAAATCCGAGTGGTGACGTAATAGCCTCCTGTGCAGTACTCGGGACTTCCGCCCATATGGAACACCCTTCTTTTATCCTGCGAGCATTGAAAATTTTCTCGATCCGTCTCTTGTGAGGAAGCCAAGGTAACGTGTATGAGTACATGCAGATAACACGGCAGGTAATTAAGAGAGAGAGAGAGAGAGTGAGAGGGGGAGTGGGAGGATGAGCGGGCGAGGGAGGCCGGAATGTTTCAAGCTAATTATTGTACGTGCATGAAGAGAGCGATAAGCGAGGAAAGGATAATGAAAGAATAGCAGAAAAGATAGAGAAGGAGAAGAAGGAAAATTACTCGCGCGCGGTCAGTTGCCGCTTTGTTCGATTCGCGAACGTATACACGTAGCAGACCGGATGCGGACTCGTGGTTTCGACTTTGTGGAATCTTCCGGTCTCTATCCGCACGGAGCCGCCTTTCCCTATTGTCCGTTCGCATCCTTCCTCCGCGTCCTCCATTTCTTCGGCTGTACGCGACCTCGCCCTCGAGCACGCTCAGGAAGACGCTCACGAGGTCTCTGTCGATGTAATTCTCGAGCCGCAGACCCGGGTAGTCAGCCACGAAGAGGACGTCCGTGTGACTCAAGAATAGGAGAACACGCGCTGCTGGGTTCGATCGAACTCGGCCCTGGGGACCGGACAACATTACCGCGTCGATCCAGCCCTTACGTATCTTTCTTCTTTGCCCCCCCCCCCCCCCCCCCCCCCTCCACTCAACGATCCCACACACACTCGCCGCTTAATCCATTTTTATGAGCTTTTCAAAAGCGCGTGACGAGGGCTGATTCCCTTCTTTCCGAGATACGTTTTTCAAAACGAACTTATTTAGCATTTTTCTCATTCAGTTACAGTCTCTCTCGATTGGCCTTTGTCAATCCATGCGATTCATCTACTCGACGAAAATAGTTGAAGTAGATTTAACTATACTAAAATTTGTTAAAAGTTCCACTCTACTATTACTCCGAACTTACAATTGCTTCCACTTTTTAAAATATAGATTTTTTTAGGTATGGCATAAAGTGGTGTGCGTGTCTCGTAAAAAAAGTTCAATATTTCTAGTTGCTCAGCTATTATTTGCTATTTTATTTCGAAATAACATGAATAAGTTTGAGTATTAAATTTAATATATATATATATATATATATATATATATATATATATAAATATATATTATATATGTACATATTTACATATATAGCACTTATTTTGCTGAATATTAAATATAACAGAAACATACAGTAACATTTTAATAATAATACGTTTGCTTTAATAAAATATTTTTAACAGCAAGATGAGTGGAAATTTTATAAAAATCAGAAATTTGGAGGTATGCTAATTTTTGAGAATCCATAGAGTCTATAAAATTTTATATTTTACCTTTATTTTATTACGGTGAAAATTTAAAAAAAAAAATTCAACTTGTCCAAATCGAAAAATAAGAATATTTTCTCGATATGTCATACAAAGTATCCGTTCGATGCTGTATTTCTAAACATTTGTATTTACAAATGTTTACGTACATAGCGATATGACGTAAATTTATATAACGATAACTTTAAATACAAAATTGCTTAAAATTCATGCCATTCTACTTTTAACATCGATTAAATTATCGATTAAAAAGTCTCTGTTGAAAGCGATCGCTTAAGGAATACTTAAAGTCTATGTAAAAATGTTCAATTGGATGATAAATTGCCTTGCATTTTTCGAATTTTTCCAGATTATTCTAAAAAGATAAATTATGAACTATTTACCAAACAGTATATATTAATAGGATTTTACAACAGTAGGGTAATATTTCGAAGATGAAACGCCGAGGAAAGTGAAATAGAGACTATAGAAATATAAATATTAATGCGATATATTGGTTACAATATATTTCAATCCCTGTATTTTGCAAATGTTTAAAAAACAAAATTTCAGACCCCCGATTAAAATATAGACTCAAATATTAAATGTGAATAAATTATGAATTTTAACTAATCAAAATTTATCATAATATATCGAACGTAAGAAGTTCGTGTTATTTCAATCGTTTTTCAAGCTATTTCGATACGACATACAAATGAATATCCAATGATATCGTTAAACGCAGATAAACAGGCAACCATTGCTTTTGAACATTTTATTACAAATAAGCATTTTTAAAAATTAATATGAACAACTTGTTTTTTAAATAACTATGAACTCGTAACGTGGATGTATCATTAACGTAGATGTATCATTAACGTAGATGTAACGCAGTAACGCCTTAATACAGTGTGCGTATTGTCGTACATTTTTGTATTTTGCTCACCTATCATTTAGCATCCAAGCTCCCGGATCCAAAAAATAATCCTTTCGACTCTCATTGTCTCGCATATTGATTACAACGAGTGCGGTATCCCATGCACCTACCATCATGTCCCAAGAATAGCCATAAAGGCCATGCAACCAGTTATTATATCCCTATTATCAATAATAATGAGTGCATTTATCAGAAAGCAGCATAAGATATTTTAATAACGATCATCTTATACTATTGTGTTTTGGAGAATTATTATAAAAAAAAACTAAAAAAAAAAACTGTTAGGATTAATTATATTGATCAACTACTTTTATAATTAATTAATTATAATTAATTTAATTTAAGTAATCGTTAAAGTGCATATATAATTACAGTTTCACATTTGTTAATTACGAAAACAAATAGTAATATATAGTAGAACTAACAATAAACTTCACAAATCTTCTGCTCATAGTAAGCAGAATTTCTCTAGTATTGGATCAATATTATACAATAGAGTCCTTTAAAATAAATGCTTAATTAACAAAGCATTTGATTAAAAACAATAAATTAAAATTATAAAGACAAGAAATAATAAGTCGTTTTTCACGAGTCATCGATTTTGAAAGGAAATGAAGATATAAAGATTTTACAATACCATTATATTTCAAATAAAATAAATATTAAATAAAAAAATAAAAAGTATATACAAAATTTATGCAGAATATAGCGTATAAACTAATTATTATTATTAAATATCTATCAACGCTAAAAATTGATTTTTTTTTAACACCACATATGATCGATCTTTTAAAACATTCAATTGGTTTTGTTTAGTAAGTAAAATATCTTATTCCAATGTATGATTTATATATTTACCGAATGCAGTAAGAAAATTATAATTTATATAACGTGAAATGTCCTTTGATATAAGCCGTACATTTGGAATATTATTAAATAATTGTCAAGAGATGATAAAAATTGTGACTTCAAAATGATTTATGAATTCATTATCGAAGTAGACAAATTTAATTGTCGACCATAGCGTTAATAGCCAAGATAAAATAAAAGTGAAATGGAAGGACAATTATAATTCATTCCTTCTCAATTTAAAGGCCATCCTAAGCAAAGTCAATTAAAGTTTGAATTAATATAATAGCCACTAACGGCTATTATCAGATATTACATTTAAATAAAAATAACATTAAGGATATTACAGTAACAGCGTTACAAAGAAGTAACTATAATATGAGGAGAGTTAATTTGAAATATCGTGAAATAAAATAGGGGAATATTTGAAGTGAAGTAAATACTGTCAATAAATGTTGATGTGAGATTAAAATAGTATAGGAAAAAATGTAAAATCCATTTGTAAATTTACATGTTAAGAAACTAGAGTAGAAGGACTTTTACATTTTTATAGTGAGAGTAGGAAATTGTTAGCTACAATAAAGGAAGACAGTATTATTAAATTTTATAAATATATGGATTTTCAATTTTTTAATTTTTACATTAACTAGTTAATTTTAAATACATCAAATTTATGAATCGAAATGCCGAATGAAAATAAATTTCTAAAAACTGTAATATTGTAAGAATTTCACAATATACTTTATTGCCTTTCGCAATATACTCAAAATTATTAAATATTTTTTAGACTTAATATCAATTAAAAATCCATTGTCAATTTGCTTTATGAAACTTTCTCTATATTTAATGTAGATAAAATAAGAGTTATATAATATTCATCTCGTTATTGTTAAATGTTGTGAACGTTAAAAGTAAAATTCACTAAAAACAACTTAATATTTTATATATCTATTAAGTACATTAACGAAACAGCTATTTAAATAAAATCATTATTATTTAAATAACGCCGTTTAAAAACCGATAAATGTGTATTTGATATATGTAAGATTTCAGAATAATTTGATAATTTAACAATTTAAAGTATGTGTGCGTGATGAAAGTAGGAATGAAATAAAAATAATTGAATTTAACAGTAGCGACAATGCGTGAAATAAATAAATATAATGATCGATCGATGTGTTCCGGCTTAGATTTTTTTTAGTCGAATGGCGGTGAGAGCGGGAGGGTGGGGTGGGGTGGGGGATAGGATCAATAGGCCTCTCTTCGTAAAACATATTTAAGACTGCGGCTGTTGAATCACGAAAGGACTTTGACAAAATCTCGATCGTCCGTCCTTCGTAAATGCCAGGTAGAATGAGTTCGAAAGCCCAATGAGGGCTTCTTACCTTCGTGACGAAGTGCGAGTAAGACGAGAGAAGTTTGAGAATAACGTGGATGACGTGGAGGATCCCAACGATATCGACGACGACGACGACGACGACGACGAAGACGACGACGAGCTTTTGGATCCGGTCGCAGGGCTTTGAGAATCGCAGTCCACATCCTCCTTGGGCCGATACCGCGGACGCGCGAGCTTCCGGGGCCAGTCGGGGCGACAAAAGAGCGGCATTGCGGCGAGGCAAACGTACGGGAACATCCCTGCGAACAGCGAGAAGCAAACAAAGGCGTTGGGCCGTGGGCCGTAGGTCCTTCCGCTACACACACGCGCGCAGGCAATTCGCCCAGGGATAACCTTGCGTAAGTTTCCGCGACGGCGGAAACCTCGCACCTGTACTGAGATGTCGGCAGTTCATGAGGTAAAAAGCCGCGCAGAAGAGTATCACGATCGAGCGTCTACGGGCGAAGAAGCCAGAGAAGCCGATCGTCAGGTCGGAGGCAAAGATAAACCAGTGGACGACGTAAGGGCCCGACTGCTTGGCTATCAGTATCATTAGGAAAATGTCACGAATGCACGAGGCACGACAAAGACTTAACAAAGGTTAAAAAAATATGTGTTTATTATGGATCGCTGATCGTATCGATCGAGACTTTAATCGAAGCAATTCTTTTTCACAATTTGAAATTCCTCCAATATTATTGGTTTTAATTAGAAATCTATTACATTATTTATTATTGCACATTACAATGTTAATCAGTCGGTATTCAAGATTCTATAAATGAAATATATATTTAATTAGCATTTAATTTAGATAAAATTCTAGTATTGTAATTTTTTAATAGATATTCCATAGAGTAATTTATAAAATAAATAAATAGCTTAAAAATATTTTAATTTAATGAAAACGAAAAGAATATTTTATTTCTATATTATTAATACTGCATTAAAAAGAAAATTTTATAATATATATTACAGTTTACGCCTAGGATAATATTTATTTAAAAAAAATGTGAAAATATTTTATGCACTACAATTGAGAAGTGTTGATATAAATGTTTTGATATTACAATCGAGTATGTGTATTTGAAAGTATTAAGGCCTTTTTTTTATTTATTTTTTTAAACTAATGTCATTATTTTATTACTAAATTAATTATTATATATGTACTTTGTATATATTTGTAATTTATTTGTAAATATTAAGTGTTGACGATGACATACATTTATTTTTTTTCTTTAATGTGTAATTGTAGATAATTATGATAACATAATGTTTCATAAGTTGTTTAAGTCGAAATAATTCACAAGTTTAATCGTGTTAAGTATGCAGAAAATGACAGTCTTAAGAGGATTAAAAATATTAATTGATTCGCAAGTTATAATTTAACATAATCTCAATGAATTAAACAAAGTTATTGAAGAGTGCATTGTTAGCTTCATAAAACTATGTATTTTATTGAAAAAGTATTTGCTTTAGATGCTTATTATTTATAATTGACTTTAGAAATAAAGTCAGATAATATATAAATTTTTTGTTATTTTGTTTTAAAGTATCGCGCCGATACTTGAAAATCTATTAACAATATATAATTTTATTAATTTTCTTGAGTACATAGCAAATATATATAATAATAATAACGAAATATTTTAATAATAAGAGATTGATTATCGTATATTCTTTGAGCCACTTTTTATTGGACTTTTTGGATCTGCTATCAACTAGAATTCGAAGAAATAAAATTTCAATATAAATACATTAAATTGCATAAATTGCGTTACATTTACATTATAAGAATTTTGTTTTGACTATGAATGACAAATTTATATATTTCTCTGTATCTTTCACTTTTATTTATTAAATATATATTTCATTTGTAAAATGAAATTATTTTTCATTTACTCTCTTTTATTATTCTTCAAAGCTAATACGTATCGTGCAGCTGTGAATAACAAAATAAACAAAAATGATTTCTTATTTCATTAGATATTTAGCAGTTATAAATTTTAATAATATCAATTTAACAATACAATGCCAAGCAGGTTTTACAGATAACAATCTCACGGTCAATCGTATTAACGTAGAGTTTAGGAATCGTCACGATAAGAGATGAAATGACATTGTATTTGTACGTTGAAACAAGTGTAGTTTGCGTGTAAAAGCAGATTGGTTTCGATCTTACGGATAAGAATATTGAATTACAATGAGATTAAAATCTTTAGCTTTTAATTCATACACGCCCACGTTGCAAATGACATGCCAATCGTACGGGATGAAAAAAAAAACAAAAAAAAAACGTTACAACGGGATAATAAACGGCATACTGAGTAAGAGTAGTAGACCGCCGTAGATATATCAGTTCGCATCTGTTCCTCGAAATAGCAGCGCAACGATTTCATAAAGATACGAGCGACTTTGTCACGCCAGAGGTTTATGTCGAGAAGAAAACTGCACCAGCTCGGATGGCAATTTGAAGTTTAGGCCAAGGATAATGTCGAAAGCGCCAAGCTACGTCGGTGCGAACAGGATAATCGTACACGGTAAGAGAAAGCTATCTGTGAATTAGGGGAAAGTGGGCATACACGTCGGGGTAACCCCATTTCACGTCCGCGCTACTGGCTAAAGTTTTTTCCTCGATGACGTCCAATACCATGAGGAGCCCTGGGAATACTTATTTCTATTAGAATAAGTTTGGGCACTGAGTTCGATTGCTTTCCGATATTTTTTTTATCCAAGCTTATCCACTTACACTGGATTTGCGTGCATTAAATTTGTGGCTGTGATTATTTTTTGTGATTTGGTTTTAATATTTCAAAGAGCTCCATTCATTCAATATAGCTGTAAGTTAGGGTGTTTAAGTTACAAGGAGCCAGGAATCCTTTTAAAAGCAACCTTACTAACGCTACGACCACAATCTTATCTTTTTGAACGATCGAACCAACGGCTACCAATCCACGTTCACTGTTAACAATAATTAATAGTTTTGAAAATTCTTCCCGCTGAAATGGTGAAATACGTATTAATAACTGTAAAGTTCCATAACTTTATAGTTCGATTCGATTTACCATGAAGTTCGATTACTGGCTTAAACAGGCGACGATAATACAGTCTTTCTGGCCTCTATCCAACATCTTCATTTTTACGTCCATTCTTTCAAGAAATGAACGGAAAATCCACTCTTTTCTCAGCTGAAAAAATTGCCTCTCCTTCGTTATTTACGCGCTACAAATTTAATCGCAAACAAATACAACACGGATTTTAACATATCAAATGATTAAAAAATTTTAACATTACGGGCGCAATTATGTTTATTCTAACGATGATTTATAAGCGCGCATATTTGTGTCTAATACAATCTAAAATTTCAAATCACCAGCTTTATAATTGGATTTACTGGTACTATTATTATTTTGATTAATCTCGCGTTGAAATTCCATGAAATTCGTTAAAAGTTAACTGCAATACGATGTGATGCACATGACGAATAGACTAGCATTTTCAATCGGAAAATCATTACAACACTCGACTTTTAGTATCAACAAATACAACAAGCGCGGGCCACAGTTTGCCGAAAGCCAGTTAATAGCTCTCCCATTCATAGATCTCAAGCGCTTAAGGATAAAAAGAAAGTCTTAGCGATAAGCACTGGAAGGAGATCGAGGCTGGCAGGATCGAGGCCGAATGCCCGTGGCTAAGTCGGTCCCGTGAGCCTCGGGCACTAAGCGAAAGGGTGGTTGCCAATGGGTGAGAGGAGTCTCGGAGGCTCGTCCAGAGTCGACAGCGGCAGCGTCGCCAGGCAACGAGTGCTACCTCTTCGCCAATGGTGGCCTAGACTAGCGCTAGCCTACCCTGGCCTGCACGAGTCCCCGGGTGGTTGCTCCCCGACATGCCGGAGGCGATTCAGCGGCCAGCGAGTACGAGCCCTCGCTGCTGTCGGGTTAATTTTCGCACTCGTGAACGTCCGTTTCTCTGCCCCCGGGTCCTTATTTCCGATCGCGTACCTACGGGGCTAAGCAAGCTGGGCCCGATCCCTGTCTAAACTGCGAATGAGAGAGAGAGAGAGAGAGAGAGAGAGAGAGAGAGAGAGAGAGAGAGAGAGCGTTCTCGGGGAGGTCCGGCTATGTTATAAGATTGACTTTTAAGATTACGTCGTGGTGAGAATGTTGGTCGACGATGGATTTGATAGGAGTCGACTAGATGGCCTTTTTAAGCGGTATGGCGAGGTAAAAGGGCATTCGCATCCTTGGAGACTTTTGATTCCCAGGTGGAGGGCCTTTTCCACACCATTTTGTCCTCTCTGGCTGTAATTGGTTCTTATTTGTCTAAGCCTGTTAGGGAAATAAAGGACAGAGGAGCTTAGGCACGAATTTTAAACTGAAACGAGGACTTTCAATGTGTTAGTATTAAATCTCAAGAGATAAGATATTTGCGAAATATATTTATTTAGGTAAATAGCTCGTATTATTATGAGAAGTATCAGTGGCTTTAAGAGCACGTATTGAGGAATTTTAATACTTCACGCATACTTTTTTTCTTCTTGCTTAATTACATTCTCAAAATATTCTTTTTAAGTGTAAAATGAAACTTTTTAACTTTTTAACTTTTTATTTTGCATTAGCTTAAGCTTATTAATTTTTTTCCATCATCATCATCGTCGTCATCATCGGTATTATTATTATTATTATTATTATTATTATCATTATTACATACGCATACGCATGTGGGCATGCGAATTAGTGCATACCTTCATGTTTATGTAGGTATGATTTTTATAAATTATGGGCTAATTAAATTTTTACAATAAAATTATCGATTAAATACTTGTTCTTAATTTGGATCAATGTAGCTTTAATGGCAGCTTTTACTTAGCATCGATCGATAATCACTCAACATAATGCTACATTACGGTTCTAAGATTAAGCCAATGAATAATTTATTACGACAAAAACCATTAATTTCTTATAAATTCATTTGAGCATTGAAAATAATTAAAATCTTCCGCTTTAAGATCAGCGTTAATTGAAAGATCGCAAACGAGAGTGAACGTAAGTGGCTGCGTATATGAGTACATAAATCATAAAAATTTAACATATATTCCGTCACTCATAGTTGTTCAAAGTTCAAATGTTCAAAGTTCAAATATTCTTTATTACATGTCGAGTATAGTTATTTATTATTGCTTTGTTTAGTTTAGCTAAGAATTAATTAACAAAGCTTTGGCACACACACACACACACACACACACACACACAAACGCAAAAGTATCAAATGACTATAATAATTTATTTTTACGATACAACGCTTTTTTAATAATTAAAAAATCTTTCAAACTTGATATTTAAATTTTTTTTATATACCAACGTTCGACGGTATGGACTATTGCAAATTTTTATTTTCCATATCAAAAAGTAATGCGATTTGTGTTTAGATTGATTTTTTATTATGACTTAAAAGGAAATTATATATAATTTTTATTAAATTAGGTTGTATTTACAATTAAATGAATTATTCATGATCTATCTAATTATTCCAATTTTATAATTGTATATCGCAGTGATATAATGAACATAGAACAATTTATCAACTCAATTTACAAATTGTACATTAATTTACCAAAAGTTTATAAAAAGAAAAAAATTTTCATTTTAATAAATCTTCAAATCTTTTTATCCTCACTACTAATGCTGTAACAATGTTAATTTAATAATTATTTATTGTAATAAACATTGTTAATAGGCATTTATTGAAATGTTTAAGCATTAGAGAATCGTCGAAAGCCATATATATATATATATATATATATATAATTATAAGAAATTATAAGATTTGTAAATATTCAGAGCATAAGCTTGTCAATTAAATGACCTGAACAATATCGAAAACTTCTAAATAATCGCCACTGTATACGTTTCGCTCATTATCATTTATGATTTAATCCCGCATTTGGCTATTTTACAAGAGTTAATCCCTCGCAAAGACGTAGTAGTTGCACGAGGGCATGAAATATTAGTAGATGGGCGATCGATGTGGACATAAATGCGGTACGCGGCTACTTCGTTCGATACATCGATACATCATCGCGATGCAGCTACTGGCACTCGGTTAATTTGAATTTTCAGTGCCGATTATTGCAAGCCGGCTAGCCACGTGAAAAGTCGATTATCGTTTGTACGAGCGGCGTCGGTCCAAGGACAAGATTATGCCCGGAATTACGTATCTCCCCTAGTTTTGGAACAACTCCTCGGGGATTCGAACTCCGTTCGGCGTTGACGACATTAATTCCAATCATTTCCGAAGCACTGCACCTACTGCTTCTTGGGACTATGGACAGAGAGGATCAGTCGATGCGCTAAGCCCCGGTAATTCATTTATCACTGTTTCATAGGGATATAAAAGAAAATTGGTTTTTCGCCGTATTACACCTCTTTTGCGACGACGCTTCTTTCGATCGTCCCCGTCCATTAAATCAACTTTATCCGCGAAATATGCATTTTATGCTCTATTGGCCACTTCCTCGTTCTCCCGGATATACATAATGGACAGAAAATTTTATCATTAGTCAATGTGCCGCATAAACGTATATTTCGGTCTAACGATATTGGTGAAAAGAATAGTAGTCGGAAAAGGAGCGTTCGTTGTTTTTCTCATTTGTCACTAAACAAGGATAATACTAAAAATTTCCCCTTTCCAAGCAGTACAATCGGTTTTTGTCACTCCGTCGTTATGATTCTTAAAATTCTCTTCCTTTATCTTTGCATAGCTGCTATTTCAAGTCGAACGCTACCAACCACACAAACTCCTTAATTCGCGAGAAGATATAAATGGCCGTCATTTTGGCTAATTGGTCCAGGCACGAGGGCGCTGTCTACGTGAAATTTCGTAACTGAATATAATAAGCAGGTCGCTTACGGAGAAGAGGAAAAGTGCGCAGCGACCGGGCTCTGCGTGACAATAGTACGAGCACAATCCACAAAAAATCAATCCGTTCGCAGATGCTTCGAGAATAACAAATCTCAAAGTGTCGAGAGTCATTTTTTCAATGATTGCGAAATGACGGGGTGCCGATGAGAAATTTCGGTCCTACGTATACGGGAAGGCTCGAGGTGGCGTTGAACGGGGTTGGTCGTGGTTTGGTGAGGGTCGAGGGGTGAGGAGGGGCGACAAACGCGGAGGTCATCGCTTGTACGTACGCCTTATGAAGTGATGGTGGATCGTCGCCGCGTAGCTGCCTACACACGCAGCTGGTGTGCGCCTTCATGAATAGAAGAGGGGCGCGTGTCGTCAAATCCCCAACGGCCGTTTTCAACTTGTAAGACAAAAGACTGATTTATTTCGAGCTGCCTATCCATGTATCTCTCGATGGACCTCTTTTTCACGAGGTCGCTTTTTCCGTTCGTTGTTCGGCTAAATTGCCATTATTTTCTTTATCGTTCGCCACGAGCGTGCCATTGTCACTGTTGTTGTAGATGCGTATGATAAGCGCGAGATGGTCGCGTTTATGAAATTCGCGAAGAAGATTTTTCCCGTTGCTGGTAATTAGAAGCTAATAATTTACGTGCGCAGGAAGTTCGTTCGCTTCGAAAAATTTAATATTAACCTTTTTATTTGTCATATGCTGAGCGCGCTATCTTTCTAAATTTTATTTTACCATTAGATACAACGTAGGATGATTATACTTTTATATAAATGCAAATTTATAGTAACAAAAGAAAATGAAAAAGAAAGACTAAAAGAGAAAGAAAGGAAGAAAAAAGTAAAGCAGAAAGTACGTGTTAAGGATTGCCGTATAGAAAGAGAACAAATTTATTGTTATGCAAAAGATCAAAGTGAAAGTCGCTCCGATTGGTAAATGTCGGCATATTGAGAAAATCACTCCTCATCAAGATCAAATTAAATGCAATTGTAAGGACAATTATATTGTACAATTTGCGCTTTAAAAATATTTCTTTTAATCAATACATTAGCAGTCCAAGTGTTAATCTTATAAAGCATATTGATTAATACAAATATTCATTATCTCGTATTTCACTTCACCGTGAAAATATAATGTTTAAACATCTTTTGATGCTTCACGAATAATCTAATATGTTAAATTATATACTTGCTGATTGAAAAACGCATAATATATGGAAAATGAAAGTACCATACGATTCCCGTTCGTGTACATTGAGGAATCAATGTATATGAGTACATTACATTCGGGAGCGTAAGATATAGAAAAGAGAAAAGTCATTGGGAACATAGTTAAGCGTAAATTAATATATTCATAGGATAGAGTGACTATTGATGAATATCATGATGACGTTAGAGTAAAAAAAATCAACAATAGATAAATAGTAGAGAGGGTCGAGGTACACGAACGATTCGAGCTAATGCAGTTTTATTGATGCCCAAAAGCAAAAGCAAATATGAAAACTGCTTTAAGGTTAGGAGTAGGGGGGGGGGGAAGGCGGCTTTAAAAAGCACACACGTACAAGGGTTGAGAAGCTAATGTGTGCATGTACTGGCAAATGCATAGATTACACGGCCTATACGATCCTCTCGTTATAATATTTGCCAGCCCTGTTTATTCAAGTATACCCTATGCACCTGGAAGCTGCTGTATCGCAAGTCTCTCTTCTTCTCTCTATGTTGTTTTTTTTTTTTTTTTTTTTTTTTTTTTCCCGCTATATAACCGATTGCCAGCCTCTATTTACCCGGCAATTTATCACGGTTTATTATTACTCATTGTTGGCGTACTAGACGCGCACGAGCCGCGGCGAATTTCTAAAACCATGTCCGATCGAATTTGCATATTATCCAGGCGGGCACTCCGCTCGTTTTTTTTTTTTTTCGCTCACCGCGTAGTCGGTGTCCGATTTCACGGGGCAACCCCATATTCGCATCGTCGACCTTTCCGTGAAGTGAAAACACTCGGTGCAATTTTCGTGCATCATCGCTATTTTTTCTCGGGGCGCATCGCCCGTGAGATTCGGACTTCTCACCAGGCTCTTGTCGAATATAACATCGATTCTTGAGACGGCGAGCATCATTCACTAACACAGCGAAAGTTCGTGAAAGCCTCGTCAATATTTCGCGAGTTATTCATTCGCTCGGGCATGTAAAATTAATGGAAAAATCATAAGCCGATTTGGCGGATCTATTATCAAAGTGTGCAATATATTTAAACTTTGCAACTGCCTTTCGAGAATGTAAAATGTTCGTAAGCAGGGAATAGTGAGAAATTAACATAAAACTTTGGTGATTTACAGTGATTTGCGAGCACGTCATTTACGTACCTTTAAATATTCTCCATACTTATTTAGTCGAGTAGCGAATAACTGATTGCTGGCTAAAACCAATATGGATCTAAGAGGATTGATTCTTTCTTTTTTTTTTTTTTTACTTTACGTGCCCTGTAAATACGGCTGTTCGAGGAACTACAAAAATTTGCTCGATTATTCTCTTTCAAACATTCTTTAAGTCTCGATATCGACCAAGGATCATTATACGAATATTCGCACTCGACGAATATCCATTGGTAATTAAATCGTAATCCAGTGTCTTTAAAAAGAAGTCGGGCGTACAAATGAAATGTTTGCTAATCGATTAATCTTCCTATTGTTTTACTTTAAATGTTGGTGTAGTTTTCGACTATCCGCATGAATGGCTACGACAGCCCGAGTAGACGATGAAAATTACTTACTCGAGTAACAATGAAAAGCGCTCGTTTAGTATCGCTCATCGACTGTCTTTTCACTCGGATATAAAAATCAAGTACACGTGTGTTTGCACTGGCTCTTGAGTGCTGTGCTGTCTCGTCGATTCACATCGGCCTTCCCCGCGTGCTTTGAAAGGCAGCACGAAAGAGAGAAAAGAGTCGGGCGTAGAGGAACCGCTGGCCAAAAGACAATGAAAAAAATGTTTGATCTTGCTCGTTGATCAGAGGAGCAGGAATATTGCCGGAGGTGAAAAAAGGATTTCATAGGCGCGCGTCACAGATAGACGAACGTAACGAGAAGTGCGGTTAGATATTCGTTTCGTCGCCCCCAGGGCTCGAAGTATCAGCTCCTTCGTACCTACATAAGGGAGAGGGCAACGAGACGGATAGCGAGAGACAGACGAGGATGGATGGAAAAAAATTGGACATAAAAATTAACAGTATACAGGCTGCAACTGCAGCTCACTATTCGTTCATCGTACTAACGGCAATATATCACGCGGCTCTCTTTCTCACTCTTTCTCTCTCTCTCTTTCTCTCTCTCTCTCTCTCTCTCTCTCGCTCTCTCTCTCTCTCTCTCGCTCTTTTTCTCCCCTGTGGAGAGTGAAGGAGAGACAGAGCCAATGGAAGGAAAGAAAGATAGATTGAAAGAGTGGGGGAGAGAGGGGTGCGCGCAATACAATGGAACCCTTTACCGAGCCCCCCGTGCACCCAGTCCAACATTCATACATCATCATTTGCGACGGAGAGAGAGAGAGAGAGAGAGAGAAAGAGAGAGAGAGAGAGAGAGAGAGAGAGAGAGAGAGAGAGAGAGAGAGAGAGAGGCTAGGGGCACCTTATATAACGCGTCGAGAGGTCGAATGGTAGGGGTCTATTCTAAACTTTTTCGCCGAGTGCCTTGTCCTGAGCGTACATGGCATACATGCCTCCTGTCTTCTTATGTGGCGTGCGTGCGTGCGTGCATGCGTGCGTGCGTGAGTGCGTGCGTGCGTGCATGCCTGCGTAGCAGACGTGTAGTTGATGATTATACAAACCGGATACACTGTATTTATTTTTCAAATTTTAATTATTCTACAGTGTTGCTTATTTTCCGATTTTTAAAACGGTGCGCTGCACTTGTCATCTATTGTGCTAACTCAAATGACAATTTTCTTTTTGATTTTTATATTGTCTGATGGAATATTGCCTGAAAAAGAAATGAAAAAATTCAGCTTTATATTTCCAATATGTCCAAGAACAATTTTAATTTCTACTTTTAGTCCAATAGCGTCTTTATGCGTCACTTTCATTGCTTCAAAAATGTCTATCATATTATTCGTTGAATAGATTGATAAGTTAGACTTACTAAAACGATATTATTTTTATAAAAAAAGAAATACCAGTTAGAGAAGGTTAATTCAAGATGATAGTTTTGAAATTTTCAATACTAAGGTGCTTATGAATTATAAAATTGATCGATGTGACATGACGATATAATGTGAAAAAACTAACAACTAATAATAACTCGTTTAAGTTAAGTTATTACGAAAAATGCTAAAATCGCTAATTTATGCGATCTTTTGCTCCCGTCTAAATACTATTGCAAATGAACATGAAATTAGTGAAAAGCCAAACTGTTGAGACATTCAATTTACATATATGAATAGCTTATTCTTATTCTAATTCTAATTCTATTAGTCGCTACGCCAAACAACTGGGAAATCCAAATGAATAATTTAAAAGTAAAAGTGTAATATATACACGCCACGTCTCACTATTGACGCCCTGTGAAAAGCATTGAATTCTGTGACATCGCAACTTTAAAGTCGATAGACGAAGTTATATAAATAAATTCTCAAATAATAATACATACATCATATATCGTTGATTGGCCATTAATTTTCAAATTAACGTGCGACGGAGAGAGAGAGAGAGAGAGAGAAAGAGAGAGAGAGAGAGAGAGAGAGAGAGAGAGAGAGAGCTCCTTCTTTCAAAGCTTTCAATGACAATTAAAAGTACCCGAACAATTAGATATAAATAAATCGTGAATTAATTACTATATGGGACGACTATAGCTCCACTCCCAGCGGACGAGTTTAATTTTAAATGACGATGCCGTGACGCGACAGTCGACTACGACGGTTCATGAGACTAATCCGCGCGCGTTGTTGTTGACGGAAATGAAAACGTCTGAAAATCTCGACGCTCGACATTAAAATCCGCTAGCAACGGTTAACGTCGTGCCTAGCCGCGCTCCGTTACGCTCTACTCCATCCTTCTCCCCCCCCCCCCCCCCCCCCCCCCCCCCCCCCCCCCCCCCCCCCCCCCCCCCCCCCCCCCCCCCCCCCCCCCCCCCCCCCCCCCCCCCCCCCCCCCCCCCCCCCCCCCCCCCCCCCCCCCCCCCCCCCCCCCCCCCCCCCCCCCCCCCCCCCCCCCCCCCCCCCCCCCCCCCCCCCCCCCCCCCCCCCCCCCCCCCCCCCCCCCCCCCCCCCCCCCCCCCCCCCCCCCCCCCCCCCCCCCCCCCCCCCCCCCCCCCCCCCCATGTCACCCGGCACTCGGCAGGCCCGTCGAGGAAGCAAAGGCAAATAGAGAAACATACGCAGGGAAATGCTGCCCTCACCGCGTAAACAATGACTCGGCGAACAAGAGCCCCGGAAAAGCCACGAGGGCGTTCATTAATCATCGCGAGCTAGCGCGCTTCCCCCCTAACCCCCCTTACCCACCTACCTACCCTCCACCCCATCGCGCGGAGCGAGTGCAAAATGAAAAAAGCGTAGTGGGCCAGCGGCGTAATCCGCTTTTCGAAATGAAGCGGCCAACCCCTTTAGCGTGTCACAGCACGGCTGACTGATTGCAAAACCATGGACTCTGCCGCAGAGTATGATGGGCGGAGGGTCGCGTGCCGCGCTTTAAAACGGCGGCCCGCCCGGAGATATTAAGCCGCGTAATCGACGTGTAATCCCTTGAAATACGTGACAGCCTCGAGAGCGGCCAGGGCTTCGTTGTCTGTTCCGTTGGTGCGGCTGTCAGAGCCGCACGGCGCACACACCCCTCGGCCTCGATCATCCGGTTCCGAATTCGTACGGAAAAGTCCTTTGGACGTCGAAGGTAAACATTAGACGATGAGTCCTGGAAGAGGCTTGACTTTGCATGTGCATCTGTTGTGTTATGCAGCCCCGATATTGTTGCTCCAATGAGTGGCGAGTTTGCGCTTTACTACTTACATTTACGTCGTTCTATCCTCTGTCGCGCTACCTGTCGTCTGCTCTTTTCGTAACCGTCAGGCATTTCAACATTAACTTCGACAAAATCAGCGTTCAATGCTAATCGTTACTCGGTCCTTAGACCGAATTACACTATTTTCCAATCATTCTGATTTTGTATAGCCTCCTGACAATGCTTCAGCTGAATTCCATCACGATAGTCTGTTCGTTGTTCATGAGGCTGTGCGAAGTAAGCCGGTTGTATATTATACTCGCGTGAAATCTATTAAATTTTCACAATTTTTCTGATTTCTTGTAGTACTTGATAGTTGTTTTCTGGATTCCATGCTTCAATGTTGATCGAATACATACGTGCATATTCGATGGGATAATATTTCAAATTCGAGATGGTTGGTAGATAATTGCCACGGGACGTTGATGGTCGCCAGGTCACCATTTGGAAATGTTGTAGATGTTGAAATATTTAGAATAGATAAGCTTAAGTATTGATAATTGTTAGTGCAACGATTATACATCGACGTTGCTATCCCATCCAATCCAATGTCAAACGATCGATAATCGATGGTCGAAGTTACAGAGTCTGTAATAACGAATAGAAAATCATATCCTTTCAGGGAATTTTGATTCCAATAATTATTATTGGTTAGTTGTTTGCGACCGATACAACAAAAATACGGTAAGAATATTCGGTCCAGTTCTCTTTTTACATCGACGATAATCATTGAAAAAATAACGTAAGTGCAATGGCTAAGCGAACACGAGCAATTTGATAATAATGAAAGGAAGGGCAGCGGCGCGAGAGTCAATGAAAAATAAGTCTCTCCTCGGTCAATTGTCCTAAAAGGAAGGAGACTGCTGTTGTGTTTGTCGAAAATCCAAGATAAAAAAAGCAAACGATTCATCGAGTTCGTTCCACCGCAACTAAACGTCGACTTAGTGTACCCCGTGTACTTGCCATCCCACCGTGTCAGGATCCCAAGAATTAGAATCTAGTTAGCACTCGTTGCTGTCGCTCGCGTTTCCACGTAATCTATGTCAGCCAGATGAGCGTAAAGATAGAGTATCGGAGAGAGATAGGAGAGAGAGAGAGAGAGAGAGAGAGAGAGAGA